AGAACTATTTCTCGTATTGTTTCGTTTAATTTTTTATATCCAGTAAACTCCAGTCGTGCGTCGGAGCGGACACACACACTTTTTTTTTTTTAATTGCATATATTGGTGGACGATCTCACAGCCTACCTGGCGTTAAGTGATGACCGGAGTCCATAGACATCTACAACGTAAATGCCACCTTGAGATATGAGTTCTAAGGTCTCAGTATAGTTACAACGGCTGCCCCACCCTTCAAACCAAAACGCATTACTGTATCACGGCAGAAATAGGAAGGGTGAAGCTACCTACCCGTGCGGACTCACAAGAGGTCCTACCATCAGTAAATATCACATAAATATGTGAACTGTACGGGTTCGATTTGACAATAGATCAAAAGATACATGAAAACTTAGAATAAGCCGAGCGGACCGGTGTTATAACTATTAGACGACCAAAACGTAAACCCAATTTGAGTTATTGGCTGTGTCGATCAATGGATTTAGCCACATATTTGTCAAAATCTCTACGAACTATAACAAAGAGAATGAAACATTCGCAACAATTAATTGTCAAAGTTTGACTAGAGCTACCAAACTAATAAATTACAAACGTGACTTAATATTAGTAGTTAACTGAGCGTTACGCAGGGGAGCCAATCAAACTTACATGTTACGTACTTTGTAAGTCTACCCTACAAACGAACTGGTCGACCGAGGTGGCCGGCGTGCACATGTGACAACGACCTGGTTCGATCCGAAAGAAGTCTAAAAGGTCTAAGAAGCTTAAGAAATCTAAGAAGAGATCTAAAATTTAACTAAAAAGTGAAAGTTGCAAAAAATCACCTTTTACGCTGGTGGTATGGGACTTTGTGAACCCTTAGGTTGGGGGCATTGACGAGGATTGATCACCATCGATCATGGATATTTTTATCAAAACTGGAAATACAACTTTTCATAGCATTTTGGAAAGGGGGTGCTGCCCTGCGCTATCTGGTAGTAAGGGCAAACTCGATAAAGGGATCGTATCAAACAACTACTCGGGGCACATGTAATACTACACAATGTGTAATTTATGTTGGTTCGTAGGTTCGTGGAATGCACTAACAGAGGTTTTAGTGAGAAAAATATTTATTATCTAAGGTGGCGTGGAATGACAAAACTTTAGTGGTTAGGAAGCGCGCGGCGTTCGTTGCTTTTGTCACAGCACTGACTTCGTTCGCCTCAGGTCATCGGTCCGAGGCCCCCTCACCTCTCGTTGAACCCCGCGCACTCCCTCTTACAAATCTTGTTAATTTAAAACTAAGCTAAAACTTTTGTTAACTTATCCTAACAAAACGAATTCACCATACAAACAAACGTACACCAAATATACTAATCACAGCTCCAAATTTATATTTAACGCATCGCTAACACGCCCCACCCCAGTGCTGCCTCAGCAGCACTCACTCTCAACTCGTAATCGAGCGATGCGCGTGACCGATCTAGTTAAAATTCCCATGCCCCACCCCAGTGGGGACTCGCGGGCGGTATGAAGGTCCATTTGATTCCGTGATTGGAAGCCTTATCTTTCAACACATCTTCGTCTAGATTTTTTTATAGACTTCTTCAGTTCCGTATTATAGGGTTTTTTGATTCAGGTAGAATGCCAGTAGCAGCACCGATGCGGCCACCGACTCGTATAACTCCATACTCGTCTAAGTAAGGGGACAAGGTAAGTATATTACTTGTTTTTGATACACATCCACTGTTTTTTATTTCAGTTAACTCTTTTTTAAACGATTCAGCTTGTGATTTTTTCAGTAACAATATTTCAGCTTNTTAAATTTTTTACACTCAGTTAATTTATGGCTACCGGTACGACAATAACCACATTTTTGTACACTTTGTCCGTCTTGCACTAAAATTGTTTGTATATTGTTCACTTTATCATAAAGTTTACGTTTGAAATTGTCCGTCCTAGATTGCAATAAAGTAGCACTACAGGTTGATACTTTTACAGCTTCTTCGGTGAGGAAATCTGACAGCAACTCTAGTCTAGGTTTCGGCGATTCAGCTGTGATAAGCGGATAACTATAATCTGTCCACTTGGTGAGCAGGGTCGTGGGTAGCTTGCATAAGATAATGTTAGCCACTTCCATGCCTTGCAGGTACTCTTGGCGACCAAGGGCTCGTACAGCGGCCACGTAATTTTTTACTTTGCCTGAAAAGGGTACTATTTCTTTGTGGTAGTCCGTAGGCAGTGGGTTCATCTTCTTTACGTCTACCACGATGCGAGATAGGATGACGTCAGCGTTTCCGAACTGTAGTTTTAAAGTGGAAATTATTTCTGTAGGAGAAGCACCACTGATAAGTAGGCCGGCGACGGCTTCTTGTGCGGTACCTCGTAAACACTTTCGTAACCGCCAATGGTTTTCTTTATCGCTGAAGTTGCAGACTTCAGTTGATTCCAGGTAGGCCTGCTCGAAATGAAGCCATTCTTTTGGGTCTCCGCTGAAGATAGGGAGTTCTTTTGGAGTGCTGAGACGACTAAGCAGCTTAGTATTTTGCTGGATGGCCGAGGACGTCATAAGTTCTTTGAATGCGTTCGTGAGTTGTTGAACTGCGTCGTTGTCGGCCGGGCTTGTGTGTGACTTGTGTTTATCACTGTTGAACTTAGTGGCCTGCTGCAGTTCCTGTTGACTACGCTCTAACCATTCTTCTATATCACCGCCGTTGTTTTTCTCCGATATTTCTGATGGTGGACTGTATTCTTCTTCGAGTTCTGCTAGATCCGCCGCTAACTTTTGATCAATGAGTTCCATTTGAATACGCGCCTTCGCCTGAGCTGCTTCTAGTTCCAGTTTCTTTCTCTGGATTTGTATTGATTTTGATGATGACATTTTCTTGGACCTGACTGACTGACGTGATGCTAGTGAAGGCGGATTTTGTTTTTCGGTTCGTTCCGATTTCACAGCACTCGCGGCACAAGAACTTTTTGCGTCATGCTCATCGTCAATTTTTCTTTGTTTGTTGGCGGTACTGCGGGTATTTACCATTTTTTTCTTTTGCGGTGGCGTGAAGAACATTCGCGATCCGGGTCGTAGGACCAATTGTAATTTATGTTGGTTCGTAGGTTCGTGGAATGCACTAACAGAGGTTTTAGTGAGAAAAATATTTATTATCTAAGGTGGCGTGGAATGACAAAACTTTAGTGGTTAGGAAGCGCGCGGCGTTCGTTGCTTTTGTCACAGCACTGACTTCGTTCGCCTCAGGTCATCGGTCCGAGGCCCCCTCACCTCTCGTTGAACCCCGCGCACTCCCTCTTACAAATCTTGTTAATTTAAAACTAAGCTAAAACTTTTGTTAACTTATCCTAACAAAACGAATTCACCATACAAACAAACGTACACCAAATATACTAATCACAGCTCCAAATTTATATTTAACGCATCGCTAACACAATGATTTAGTTTTCGGCATAACTTTTCATTAATGAATAAATTCCAGAATATAACGGAGCAAGAATTAATATTTCACATACAATATTTTCTCGTTAAGGGCGTTTCATTTTACTTAATACTGCTGTGACGTTTTACGAGCTAAACCTTAATTCTGCGTTAATTGGAACGCAGCACGACAACCAGTGTGTTTGATGTTTTTAAAATTTTATTAATTACTCTATTAATTGTGAAATATGATTTTGTTAGTCCGTTTTTTTTATTTAAGTTAATTGACAATAAAGGTATATTATGTGTGTATAATATAATCTAATTCTTGAATTTGACTCGGAATGCTCTTGACACTACCTACATTGAAATACTCTTAAATAAAAATATATTAAATATATTAAAGTTCAACCATTTCGATCGTAACAGCGCGTCGCAATGTACAACAAGACCTCTGGGGAAAAGCGAACGTCAAACTACTAAAACCCGCAGTGTTCCATCCTCGACCGAATTCTGGGAAGCAGTAGACGGAACAAAGGAACCTTGCTCCGAGTGGAAACGAAAATTATCCGTGTTAATTAATAGTGTCGATGTCGACGGTACACCCCCACCTACCGTCCAGTAGATGAATAGACCGTGTGGGACGGTATTACCAGGAAAAAAGTCCCCTAATCGAAATACCAGACACCCTATGACTTTTAAAGTGCCTAAAGTGTCCACAAACGCAACAAAAACATGAAGACTGAGAGCTCTTGTTTGTCTTTGTTTGTTAACAAAATAAGTAGAGAGCTGCGACGGGAATTAACCACACCCAAATACAGCCCAAATCGTAGTTGTTATGGCGGGTTACCGTTTTCCGCTAAAAATAACAAGCACGTCATGGTGGATAGAGAAGTGTGTGTATAAAACACTCATAAAGCACTTATCTCTCAGTGTAAACGGAAACACCCTCGGTCCTTACATTATTAAAATGAGTTTTCGTTTGTTTCCTCTGTCACTTTATACAAGACATAGGTGCGCGATGTAATATTTGTTAAAGTAATAGATTGGACCCAAAAAACGGTGCCTTGCTTTTAAGAGATATCGTTTCAAAAGCTCACGAAATATATTAAATGTTTATGGTAATATTTAGAATGTATCCAGTTGTCTTTTCAACTGTATATCTGATGCTAAGTGGGCCACTAGAGCTCCTAGACAACCCAAAGTAATTAAAGTCATTCCTCTTGGGACACGAGGTGGAAGTTTATAACTTTCAGTCGAATTTTGGTCGTGGAAATAACGGCAGTGCTCTTTCAAAGAGGGAGCTTGAATTTGCCAATAGTTCTAATACGAACAGCAGAGAAAGCAGAAGCCTCCGCAGCAGTTTCGTTCTGGTGGTAGAAAATATACGAATCAGTTGCCCTCCCGCTGTTGCGTTCTTATCCCATTTACGAATCACAACAAAAACAATAAAAATTATCATGATATCTTCTTTTTGATGACCACAACTGTGAGTTCGAAACTAATTGTTGAGAACTCCTCAAATATACATAAATGAGACTGAACCGTAAAGATATTTTAATGAATCACCTCGAAGATATCTCCCACTTTGTTTCAGATATGGAAGTCCACATCACTCGAGATCCCAGTCAGTGAAGGCCCAAAGATCGAGAACGGGAGAACGACAGCTCCTCGGTCTGCCGCAGCAGAGAGCCAGGGTGGCTTCCATGCCTAACACGGGAGTGGAAGAGGAATATTACAGGCTTCGGCATTTCAGTATAACTGGTAACAATCGATTGTATTTTGCGCTATTGGTGGGAGGAGCCTTCATAGAATGCAATTTCAAGTCAGACAAGTCAAAATGAGTTGAAAGAACGGCATGCTTCAACTGCACTCTCCGAGGTCTATCTTAACGTAATTTGCGTTATTGACACTGAGCAGCTAAACTGCACGCGATTGCTGAAGAAGGACCTCGAATGTCAAAATCAACCTATGTTACCGAATATCCTAACTTTTTTATAATTATTTTTTATTGCTCTTGTAGGCGGACGAACATACGGCCCACCTGATGGTGAGGGGTTACCGTCGCCCACAGATTTCAGCAATGCCAAAGGCCAAGAGCCAAGCAGCTGCCTACCTTTAAGTACTCTCCGTAAGCCTCGCTTCAGGACATGTCATAGCGCCCAGGAAACCTCATTAGCACAAAGCTGTTTTCCACTCTACCGGGAACGTATGAATCTGGTGAGGTACAGTGGCATCCATCCAATAGTCAGAATTGGCGACGTGCCCTACCACCAGTTTACATTCTGACACATAAAATTTACATTAAAAAACAAGTAAGAAAGAAAGGGTGTCTTCCAGCTGACCTAAATTCAATCAAGTAAATGTATTTAGATTAGCTTTTAAGCCCCAGTCACATTTCGGCTCCGACAATGATTTTTCTACAGCCTATATGTAACCGAACTCACTTCAGGTAAGGGCGTAGTGAACCGCGGTGACTCCTTGCGCTCCCGAAGGTCTCGTTCCAACACGTCGGTGGCCTCCAGCGCTTCTAGCACCGAGGTCGCCAAACGAGCCTCAGCGCCCTGCTCCTTGGCATCATCCAGGTACCTTTGGTATACCAAAAATTGACCTTAATATACTGCATGTGGCTGTAGTTTTGGATCGTTTAAAATAATCCAGTTAATCCTCCCATAAATGATCGGTTAGTTCGAAAGTATATACGTCTGTTCAGAGGGACTGCAGAATCTCAGACTGACTGCAATGCATTACGTACTACATGTATGTTCACAATTAATTTATTTTGTTGTTTGATATTTTAATTAATTAATATTTTTACTGACTGCATTTAATGTAAATAGTTTTGAATAATATTTGCACGCCGACCTGGTAGAAATACGCTGTTCTATAAAATAACTTGTTCTTTGTAAACCGTGTTTTAGCTAATAAAGTTTGATTTGATTTGATTTGATTAAAATCATGTGTCTCCCACTGCCCTTATTGTTTCATGATCTTCATTCTAGAACCTTCTTCTCTAAGCTGTCAGACTCTGTGCAATTTCTGCAGGCAGACGATCATAAGGCCCATCTGATGTAGAGCGATCACCCTCGTTCATGAAATTAGCATTACCCAATGGATCACGGCCAAATCGTTGCTTACCGCTTTCAATCATTTTATCGTATTCAAAACTAATTTAGCATAAGAACTACGTCGATATTAATTTATTCATTCAAGAAATCGTGTTGACCTTTCAAAATACAATTTTATCATCTTATAAGCGATGGCTTATAACGTTAACTAGTTACGATTCCAGTCTATGTGATCACGTGAAGCTCTCATGGTCCAGTAGCCAATGACCTTCACCTATTAAGACTCTTGATTTGATGTTGAAACACATTATGGTCTAGAATACTGGAACCTTCCTGGAATGTTCAATGCTTTGTTGGAACTAACTTTACCGTCCGATATAGCATGGTAAGATAGGAAATGCTAATTGTTGCTATCGCTCGTTGATTACACAGACAAACTCTCACGGCTCGCCTGGTGTAGAGTGGCTCCGGGAGTCCATGGACATCGCAACAAAAATACCGCCACCCACCGCGAGACATGGGATCGAAGTCTCAAATGACTAAAAGCCCACTCTTTGAACTGAAATTGCTTAAAGAAATAGTCGGGATGGTGGTACCTTCCCGTGCTGGATAAATACCACCATAAGTCAGTACAGAAACGAAAACAATATTCAGTCACCAGCCGTAACTCAGGCTATTGAGGTCTGAGACCTTATGCGGGACTACTGTATTGTTCGGTCGCCGAAAAAAACACGATCAATCAAACAAAAAAAATCGTGCAAACAACATTCATCCCAAGTGGACACAGTTATTTGTTCCTTGTTTTTTTTTTCATTTATAAAGCAGAGAGACATATTTTTTTTAATTGTAATCTAATCGCTATATCTTCCATTCGATCACAACCAGCCAAAGACGACGCACTCTTGTAGCGGCCGGAGAATATTACTTCAAACTACGTCAACGTCCACCAGATCCTTTTACCATAGAAATTAACTAGGCGAGTTTTAATTACTAGTCCTTCAACTACAGGGACTCATCAGCCGGTCTCAGTTCCTACAGAGTGCTGGTGTTAGGAGGTCCTGGAGTCGGAAAGTCGAGTCTGGTGGGACAGTTCATGACTTCGGAATATCTTCATGCGTACGACACTAGCATAGGTAAGTGCCAACAAATTGAAATCCGTTAGCTGAACGATTCAAGCTAGATAAAAAACTAGCAACATTTTTAAATTAGGTTAGCGTTCACATTAATAAAAAAATGAGTTAGAAAATTCTGATGTGAGGAGCAGGCGGACTCAATTCTCTGTCACAACACCCTGACAACAACCCGCCGCCACGTCCCATGAGACCCGATGCTTGTGTAAATATTTCCTTCAAATAATCGTGTAATTTTTGTTGCTGCCTCACGGAAGATAAAGGTAGGAGAAATGCCGAAACAGCATGGCCCAAACGATCCTCTACTATCTCACATAGGACTTTTCGTATTTAAGCAGCTTCTTTTAATATTTCAGATTGCAAATACACAAATGTCTTTAGAATAGCTTTCAATTATATAAAAGCTTTCATTTTCTTTAATATTAAGCTAATGCTAAGAGAGACTGAACCACGTTCCGAATCAAGCACCTAAATATTTTCTCAACAAAAGATCGCAGATTTTAAAACGGTGTTCAAATGTATTTTCTATCAGCAACTGAGTGTTCATCTTAAAAGAATCGAAATAGATTGAATGAACTGACTATTCTTGATTCAGTTTCAGAACTGATTCAGAAAATACAACTACGTGTTAAATGCATAGAATAGACTCAGCGTAGAATGCGGTAGGCAGCGGCTTGGCTCTGCCCCTGGCATTGCTGAAGTCCATGGGCGACGTTAACCACTCGCCATCAGGTGGACCGTATGCTCGTCTGCCTACAAGGGCAATAAAAAAAAAGAATATCTTAGTAACTAAACAATGTTTAACACACGAGTATATTGTGTGTGTTGAAGGGATAATTAAAATGACAAAATAAGGAAATTTCCTTCGGTTAGCGTGGTATGGACATGTGATGCGTAGGGAGAAGATGCATGTGACTAGGAGATGTATGGAAATGGTAGTGCAAGATAGAGGGGGAAGAGGTCGACCGAAGGAGACGTGGATGGAGTGTGTGAATGACGATATGAGAGAGAGAGGATTGAGTGTTGAGATGACGGCTGATAGAAAAGAATGGAAGAGAAAAATTAGCTGTGCCGACCCCACCTAGTGGGATAAGGTGGAGAAAAAGAAGAAGAAGGAAATTTCCTTATTTCTAAACAATTTGTATAATTTAGCTTCTTGTAATGGCTCTGCTAATCCTAATTTACGTTTTACTGGTAGATCTGAATTTACCTAACACGGACGGATAATGTCGTCTAATGAAAGCTATGCAATCTATATCTCTAGCTGGATCTTATTTGACGTTGGAATTCTGGGACAGTAAGGTTTTTATGGTTTCTTGCAGATGACGAATCTGGCGAGAGATCTGTCTGCGTGCTACTTGCTGGAGAGGAATCCGAGATAACCTTTCTGGATTCGCCACCAGATCATGTAGTGGTAGGTTTCAAGATATTTACATAATTTTTATACTAGAATCTTCCTGATGATAAGTAAATTCCGAATGCTACAGACTGCATGGTATGAATATCACCGAGACATGATCTTGCATTGACCTAGCATCGCAGTGTTTTAGAATATTGTTACGCGCTGGGATTCGAGATAAACAAAATTCTACCGAATTACAAGTTAACACTGTATTCAACACTTAAAACACTAAGCCCTCAGCAAATACTTTAAAATTCTCAATTCGCTTTAGGTGATCCGTTCGCTGTTTCGCTTCGTGTAGTTGCGATTACTGACTGGCTGCGTGCCATCTCTGCAACGCTTTTATAGTCGAAACAAAATCCCTAGAATCGTCGAGAATATTCCACAAAAGCCGACTACTGTGCTTCCGCTATCTGACAATAGATGACATTGTACTTCTCGAGCGTTCTAGATGCTACTAGATCCTTTGATATTCGTTCGACTATTCGGCGATAGATGGCGTTACTCTTGCCGGCGTAACAATATTAATAACTCGCCTTTATTACCCATATGAAACTAAAAAAGCACTAAAATAACAAAAAAAAACGACATTACAATTCAGATTCCCTCCCTGCGGTCATAGCACAGATTATACAATCCGCCCCGCAATGCTTAAACATACCACGGAAATACTTTTAGGCGGGAACACGAGGAGCAAAATTGTGTGAATTACTTTATTTTGTTCATTCAGTGTTTCTTCAGGTTGAAGTGTGTATTAATAACGACAGCTTGTTAATAAGTCAGTTTAGTATCTCTGAAAGTACACAAATTGGTTGATTAATAAACAAAGCCGCTGGACGTAGCATCCTCGGATTCTTTCACAAATGTCCACTGAAAAAGTCTCAGTAAATAACCGTCACTTTACTGAGACTATATTTTATGTCATCTCTCATCTCGTTTCATTCAATTTCATCCCAAAGTCTCAAATCAATTAACTTCATCTCATTTAGCGGTAGGCAGCGGCTTGGCTCTGCCCTTGGCATTGCTGAAGTCCATGGGCGACGGTAACCACTCACCATCAGGTGGGCCGTGTGCTCGTCTGACTACAAAGGCAATAAAAAAAAAAAAAACGCTTATGACAATAAAAACATACAACCTTACTAACGACTTTGTCTAAGAATAACTTTGTCATAGTAAATATCGACAGAAAAGTTATGCAAATTCAATTGGTTCCATTTTTTTTTTATTGCTTAGATGGGTGGACGAGCTCACAACCCACCTGGTGTTAAGTGGTTACTGGAGCCCATAGACATTTACAACATAGACGCGCCACCCACCTTGAGATACAAGTTCTAAAGTCTCAGTATAGTTACAACGCTGCCCCACCCTTCAAACCGAAACGCATTACTGCTTCACGGCAGAAATAGGCAGGGCGGTGGTACCTATCCGCACGGACTCACAAGTGGTCCTGCCACCAGGAAACTCACAAGTGGTCATATCACCATTGATTTTAATACACTGGTTTCTTCCCTAGTCCGAAGGTTGTGCCCACGGGTACTGCGTGGTTTACTCCACGGCAGACAGGAGCAGTTTCGTGGAAGCTGAGAGGAGATTGCAGGTTCTGTGGGCCGCTGGACACACCTCGCGCCGTGCTGTCATCCTGGTCGGAAATAAAGCGGATCTGGCGAGATCAAGGGTCGTACCTACTGATGGTAAGACTATAACAATATGCTAAGCCATCGATTCGTACTTTTATAACATTAATCCACACAAAAACGTATCCTATGGTGGAACTAAGCGCGAGACTTATGAGCATGCGTGTGGGAGGTATACTATGGAGAGAAGATCTTCCACCGAGCGGGTGATGTTGCTCGGTAGACCGACGGTCCGAATGTTGTTTTTTTTTATCCTACCTCTGATACCTAGTCTTGAGAGGCTATTTCAGCGTAATCTTAACTAGTAGGTGAACTCACGGGGCTCAAGCCTGACGACGCTGCTAACACGAACCCTAGCAAGAGCCGTGCTTCGCAGAATCTACCACCGGGTCGGAAACGCGACCCGCTGAGAAGACCCGGCGAGAAACTCAGTGGGCTGTGTCTGTAGGTTAATTTACTCGTCGAGCCCTTCATCGCAAGCGACGGGTTCGATGAGAACGATGACGGGAGAATGTTGTTGTTCGGAGCTTGTATATATGCAAGCTTATCTTGTAAATGTTGTTGCGAGATTCAGGCATCTGTCAAATATCTTGCGTTCTGTGATGGCTACCGCCACAACGCGTATAATTGCTTTTTATTAATCTCTTGTTCGATTCGCGCCGGCGTAGAGGTTGTTTGTAGATCATAATTTAAGCACACGACCTAATTGGCTCAGCTGTACGCCACGAGCGTGATACGAGAATACGAATTATGTATTTTAATACAATAGGATAATTCGGTTTCATGAAATATTAAATTAGTTAATTTGTGTAGAGTATATTTACCAATTAATTCCGACCGCCTTTTGTTGTTACAAACTTGTCACTGTTAGCAGAATTGCTCTATTAAGCTGTGCTGAATTTGATTACGTTTGCACTCAATGCTATAGTAGAAAAGATTATTAGTAAAAAATATGTATATATATATATATATTTTTTTTTTTTTTTTTTATTGCTTAGATGGGCGGACGAGCTCACAGCCCACCTGGTGTTAAGTGGTTACTGGAGCCCATAGACATCTACAACGTAAATGCGCCACCCACCTTGAGATATAAGTTCTAAGGTCTCAAGTGTAGTTACAACGGCTGCCCCACCCTTCAAACCGAAACGCATTACTGCTTCACGGCAGAAATAAGCAGGGTGGTGGTATCTACCCGTGCAGACTCACAAGAGTTCCTACCACCAGTAATATATAGTAAGTAGTTGTTTTATAAAGTTATTTTATTAGCGATTTCATTTGTACATAAAAGTATTTATACTTTTTTTTTTTTTTTTTTTTTATTCTATACAGTAAGCTGTCGTAAGACATTCAACCGTAGTTTTGATAAAAACAATTTCGGCGGTGCATGCACATGTCCATTGACATGTCCATATCAGTTAATCTACTTAATCTACAGTAGATCTAGAAGATCTTGAGGCACTCTTCTTCTGAGTCTTCTTGTAGTCATTTGGTTGTCCATTAAATGCTTAGCAAGGTTATTGGGATGGGCTTCCAATCTTACGCAATAGGCTTTAGCTCGATGGATTACTTCATCTTTGACTTTTCTAATGGCAAGATCATAATTGATTCTTTCATTTGTAACATACCATGGTGCGTCCACTATCATTCTGAGCGTTTTTGATTGAAATCTTTGAAGGATTTCAATATTTGAGTTTGACGCAGTACCCCACAATTGGATGCCATATGACCAAATGGGTTTAATAATAGATTTGTATAGTAAAAGCTTGTTTTCAACTGACAGTTGAGACTTTCTATTAAGAAGCCAATACAATTTACGTATTTGCTGACCCACCGCAAGACGCTTGGTGAATATATGTTTTCTCCAAGTCAGTCTCCTATCCAGGTACATCCCTAAGTACTTTGCATTTTCAGATTGTGGGATCTCTATATTATTCAAGGTGACTGCAGGACAAGTTTGTCTTCGAGTGGTGAAAGTAACTTGTACAGACTTAGATTCATTCGCTTTGATGCGCCATTTTTTTAGCCAAGTGTTGATATTATTAAGGCTGTTCTGAAGTTTATAAGAAGCTTCGTTTGGATCATCGTCCATGGTCATTATTGCGGTGTCATCAGCAAAAGTTCCCATTACCGTACCATCAGTTCCGGGCAAATCAGCTGTATACAATAGATATAAAGTGGGTCCAATGACACTGCCTTGGGGAACACCGGCATTAATTGAATGGAGAGGCGATATTTCATCGCCGTGTTTAACAAAATAATATCGGCTACTCAAATAAGATTCAATGAAAAAATAAAAGCTGGAAGGAATCTTCTTTTTAATTTTGAGTAAAAGTCCTTCATGCCAAACTCGATCGAAGGCCTGAGATATATCCAAGAAGGCAGCCGTGCAGTATTTTTTTCCCTCAAAAGCTCCATTAATATGTTCAACAAGTCTGTGAATTTGTTCGATTGTACTATGTTTCCGTCTAAAGCCAAACTGATGATCTGGGATTAGTTTTTTCGTTTCAATAATAGGATTCAATCTTGCGAGAAACAGAATCTCCATGACCTTGGAGGGTACAGAGAGCAAACTGATAGGACGGTAAGATTTCACGTCCTCGCCACTTTTTCCAGGTTTAGGTATCATCTTAATTTGAGCTACCTTCCATAAGTGAGGCACAAACTTAAGTCTGAACATAGCATTGTATAATTGGGTCAAGAAAGTAATTCCCTCTTGAGGTAACTCTTTTAAAATAGTTGCTGTTATTAGATCATATCCTGGTGATTTATTAGGGTCAAGATTATTTATGACAGATCTTGTTTCGGATTTACTAATTTTTTTGAAAGGAACCTCAATAAAATGCTCATTCAATTCTGATTCATTGGGAGGCATAGCCGAATTATCCATCGCATTTGGTGTAAATACATTATCCAGGTGTTCAGCGAAGGCCTTAGCTTTGTCTAGATCGCTAGTGGCCCATGTTCCATCAGATTTCCGTAGAGGAGGTTGGTGGTTTATAGGACGTTTAAGGTATTTGGTAGCCTTCCATAGCGAATAGTCTGTTTTCGATGTGGCATCCAGCTCCTGCATGTATGTATTTGTTTTTTCGTTTCTCTCACGAGCCAAATGTATTTTCAATTTTNTCAAGGAGCGACAGAGCTTCTTTTATGTCCTCTGGATCAGTAGATGGATGCATATTTTTTAGCATCACTTTGAAGTTTCTGTCTTCCTTTGGTTTGTATGTATAAAATTCAGTGTTTTTGTTCTCAAGTTCTTTGACTATTTTTATGTAAGTATCAGGAGCTTTTGGTTGAATTTTAACACGTTCGTTTGGTAACACTTTAAGTTCATAGCTATCATCTCCAACATTGTTTAAAAGTGTTATAAGAGGCTTTATATTGCTCACTCTGTCTACAAATATTGGGGGTGGTTTAGGTAACTTCACCTCAGTATCGGTTTTATCCGTGGGTTCACCGGGGCTATCAACCTCAAGATTAGCAAATCTGTTTGATGTAGAAAATGGATTTGAGAGCCAATATGTATCAAGTTTTTTTTGCTTTTATTATAACTTTATTTTATTAAATATTGTACCATGCACACACACGTAGGTACATATTACCTATTTTACATAGCCTACATAACATTTTACTATGGTTTTATATGAGGAAAATAAAGGAAAATGAATATAATTTGATGTTTTTGTCTCTTTGGTATATGAAAACAGAAATGTTAGTGTACATTTTTGTATAACAATAAAATTCAAAACATAGAACCCGAACGCGTGTGAACTAAAATAAATACCAAAAGAACAAACCGAAACAATCCCTCCCCAAGGCACGTTCCAATACTGCTGAAGGAGGTCATCCCAAGTAAGGTCAACGTTAGCCAAGCGGCCGGTCGTAATACTGAAGCAAAATCCTTAAGCATCACGAGGGGACATACTGTGATGACCCCGCGTGTGGGATAAGGTCAAGAAGAATAATTATTAAAGTTAATAGATTGCTTATTTCAAATAATGAGACCATTAAAATAAAGAAAAAAAACATGTATTTTGTACATAATATATCCTCTTCTCGCATTAAAGCTGTATAATCTCAAAACTTACTAATTTTACAGGAGAGTGTTTTAAAGGTTTAACATGTGATATTTTTAATACTAATTCATCTTTGCAACATTAATTTTTTATTTTTTACCAGTAAAATTATCTGTTTAAAGTAAGATAAAATTATGTATTAATTTTGTTAATAGTAGTCAAAACATAGATAAACTAAAAAAAAACTAAAACTAAACTACACTCTTTTGACAGTATTTATGAAAAAAATACTGATGATAACCAAATGATTCCGCATATTAAGTCAATTTCGAATATTTTTGGAAATTGTACACTTTTAATGCGAAAAGACGATATATGATTGTATATGACCGAAATGCACACTCTGGGATCTAATTGCAAAAATATAAACAACCCATAAGACATTTGAGCTCCCGTTACATTAGACGACTCCAGCTCTAACACTAGGAGCAGGCTTAGGGACCCCGGCAACCGTCCTCGTCGAACTCGACAAAGAGTTCGACGTGCAACCTAACCCATACAACAGTCCGCTGAGTTTCCCGCCGAATCTTCTCAGCGGGTTGCGATTCCGATCCGGTAGTAGATTCATTCGCGAAGCAGCTGCTACTCTTGGGTTGTTAGGTCTCCTTTGGAGGCGCTCGGGTAACTGTTAGCAAATCCCACCTCTTCTAGCTGGGTCCGTGCTCGCTCACCTGTCCTGGTTTTTTTTTTTTTTTCTATTGCTTAGAGGGATGGACGAGTTCACAGCCCACCTGGTGTTAAGTGGTTACTGGAGCCCATAGACATCTACAACGTAAATGCGCCTCCCACCTCGAGATAAGTTCTAAGATCTCAGTATAGTTACAACGGCTACCCCACCCTTCGAACCGAAACGCATTACTGCTTCACGGCGGAAATAGACGGGGTGGTGGTACCTATCCGTGCGGACTCCCAAGAAGTCCTACCACCAGTGACACTGGAAAGGCCTCCGGACCACTAGTAATCCCTCAATCCTAAAAAAAAAGCATTTAAACTTTGTAACATTTACCAATTGGCTTATTTAGAAGATATGAAAACTTTAAGCCACAGCTAAGCATCGATTTCCACAAATAGGATGTGAATCTCAATCCAGTAAAATATATAACTATCTGTTAGAAAGGTGAATAGAAAAGTTTTTTTTTTATTGAACACAATTTAATTGCCTTCAATATGAAACGTCAAAGTCATCAAAATTCGATTAGAAGTTTTTGACGGTCCGCCACCGGTCGAGATCGTAACTTTTGATATCTCTCAGAAGACTATTTTACGATTTCCATTTACTCGACATCACAGATCTATAAAAGACATCAGGACCCCAAGTTATTGATGTCCTCCGCTGATAAGCGCCAACGATTTGTAATAGCAATCTGTGAAGTTATAATTGTTTGCTCTAATAAAACTTTCACTGATATTAGAAACTAGCGACCCGCCCTCGCATCGCTTCGGAAACTGTAATTTATTATTGATTTCTCCACTATTTAATGGATGTTATTATACATATAAACCTTCCTCTTCAATCACTCTATCTATTAAAAAAAAAAGGCATCAAAATCCGCTGCGTAGTTTTAAAGATTTAAGCATACATAGGGACAGACAGATATAGGGACAGAGAAAGCGACTTTGTTTTATAGTATGTAGTGATGTTTAATTTATTTATTTTCTATTCATTGTCCTTGTACTAAACGGCTGCCTAATCTTGTAGATTTCACAACGTGAATGGCTGTACCGATCTTGAAACGTTATGAGTCTGAAGCCTCAGGGCAGGACGGCTGTCCCGACCTTTTCATTGAAAAGCAGTACAGCTTCCCGGTATAACCAGGGTGCTGGTTCCTATCAGCGCTGGCTCTCAGACCGCCCTAACATCAATATTGGGAATGTTTATATAAAGTACTAATTTAATGTCCACTTTGTATTAAAATGAAATTGTATTGAATGAATTGCGTGAAAAACGATATGTGCAAGAGGGGAGTGAGCGAAGAAATGTTATATGATAGAGGAGTATGGAAGGAGAAAACATGTTGCGCCGACTCCAGGTGACTGGGAGAAGGGCAGAAGAATAATGATTTGTATTAAAATGAACATGTTACAGGTGGTAGGGGCCTGTTGTGAGTCGGCACGGGTAGGTACCACCGCCCTGCCTATTTCTGCCGTGAAGCAGTAGTGCGTTTCAGTTTGAAGGGTGGGGCCTCCATTGTAACTATGCTTGAGACCTTAGAACTTTTATCTCAAGATGGGTGGCGCATTTACGTTGTAGATGTCTATGGGCTCCAGTAACCACTTAACACCAGGTGGGCTGTGAGTTCGTCCACCCATCTAAGCAATAAAAAAAACCAACCAGCGTACTCAGAACAAAGCCAGAGTTTTACTAAGCGCTCTCGTGAAGAACTAGTTTTTAAAGTACCCACAACTACGTCCAGTGTCTGATGATGTCGTTCTTGTTTCCAGAGGGCAAGAGCTTGGCTACATCTTACGACTGCAAGTTCATTGAGACGTCTGTCGGCATCAACCACAACGTGGACGAGCTGCTGGTCGGACTCCTCACTCAGATCCGACTCAAGCAACAGCACGCCGAGAAGGCCAAGTAAGGGGAACCTTGACCCAATATATAGACCTCAATATTACCTATTCAAAATCTTAAAACAACCAAAAATGTATCTGTTTGTTATCTATTTTATTGGTGGTAGGACCTTTTGAGTCCGCACGGGTAGGTACCACCACCCTGCCTATTTCTGCCGCGAAGCAGTAATGCGTTTCGGTTTGAAGGGTGGGGCAGCCGTTGTAACTATACTCAGACCTTAGAACTTATATCTTAAGATGGGTGGCGCATTTACGTGATAGATGTCTATGGGCTCTAGTAACCACTTAATATCAGGTGGGCTGTGAGCTCGCCCACCCATCTAAGCAATAAAAAAAATAAAAAAATTAAGTACATTTAGATTTAGATTTAAAATTCATTCATCATTCATTATCCACAATCAAATACATTTACTTCATAACAGACAAGCTATCATAAGTAGAAAATTATTGAAACTATGCAAGAAAATCAGGGACATATCAAATGCTTTTTTGTTTTTCTTTTTCCTACCTAAGCTGATAGCCTTGAGAGGCTATGTCAGCGTAACCTAACAAGATCAAATGCTAGAAAGCTAAACTCAAATGACTAACTATGAATTGGCGGTGAAACGCATATATCTCCTTCCTTTTCGCACCCGCTGCTGGCGTCGCGCCCTCCGAGAGAGGGGGCAGGCGGACGGGGGAATAGAAAATGATTGAGTTCTAATTTCAAAATTCCCTCTACATTTATTTACGAGCTATATAGAACTATCGCGTCTCATTGAATAATAAATTTGTGGTTCTAAATTAGGGTGCATACTACCAATAAAAAAAAACATAATACCAATACATACAAGCTGGTCGACCGCGCGCCCGTCTAACCAATTATTTAATAATGTGTTTGACAAGTAAATACATTTTGATGGGATAATCTTTTTATTTTATTTTAGTCTTTGCACGTGTTCAAAGTCAGTAATTAACATCGCTGTTATTTTTTTCGGGTACCTTAAAATTATTCCTGTTTAAAATTTGGTGACTGATTCACCTGTAGACGAACGTTTGAAATACACTAAAAAAATAATTAGTCGGAGGTATCGCTTAATGAAAAAGCATCTTATAATGATACAATTAACTGATTTTTTAAACGAACCGACGGAAATAATACTGACCTCACAACCTTAAAGGAGGCCACTCTGAAAATGCCGTTACCAACACTGCCAATTAATTTATTTTAAGACAGTAATGAAGTCTTTATCTGTGGCAGCATTTTTTTTTCTGTTCATTTTTTTACGGCCCTGAGTGACTCGACTATTCAACTCGTTCTAGGAAACGCAGCGGCTCACGCAAGAACAGAAGTCGCGCCAGGTCTCCGATGGAGAGCGAGCAGCCCGCACCAGCCCCGGCCTCCTCCTCCGCGGCCAGCACGCCCAGGAAGAGGACCCGACTCTCGGCCAGTGTCAAGGTAAACTAACGCTACGTTTATTTGAAATACGGTTTGAAGTATAACGAAAAGATGAAACTAAATAGACTTACCCATTCTTCTCTTAGCAGCTCAGTAATATTTCATAGCGTTTTCATAGTTTTAAAAGACTAGGTAGATTATGACATACATGTAGAATTGGTAAGAACGGAACGTATGAAAAGAGTGTGGAACGGAGCGTTAAGATGTGAGTGAGAGAAAACGGAAAGAAAGGGAGAAGATAATGACAGACAGAATGACAGAGAATTGGAAGATGGCGAAGACGGTTAAATAATGAGCAAGACGTAATAAAAGTGTTAATTATTAATTATTATTTGATTAGAAGATTTTGGAACAGTGGAAGTTTTATTTTACGCGCTGCGATCCCTATTCTACATACATATTATTAAGTGTGTAAAGATCAGATTAAAACGGATGATTGGGTTGCGAAATACATGTGAGGAGTGGCCACTACTGCGGAGTCCAACTAACTTCTCAGAGCCTACAAAATTAACGCTCTCCTGGACCTGGACGCAAACATAGCCCTAATACACTTTTTATTTATTTATTGCTTAGGTGGGTGGACGAGCTCACAGCCCACCTGGTGTTAAGTGGTTACCAGAGCCCATAGACATCTACAACGTAAACGCGCCACCCACCTTGAGATATAAAGTTCTAAGGTATCGTAAGGTAAGGTATAATAGTTACAACGGCTGCCCTACCCTTCAAACCGAAACGCATTACTGCTTCACAGCAGAAATAGACGGGGTGGTGGTACCTACCCCTGCGGACTTACAAGAGGTCCTACCACCAGTAATTACGCAAATTATAATTTTGCGGGTTTCATTTTTATTGCACTATGTTATTTTCCTTCACCGTGAAAGTCAATCGTGAACATTTGTTGAGTACGTATTTCATTAAAAAAATTGGTACCCGCCTGAGATTCGAACACCGGTGAATCGCTCAACACGAATGCACCGAACGTCTTATCCGTTAGGCCACGACGACAACTTATGGCATTACTTGTTGTTTTAAGTAACTACATATAATATTTGAGACTGTTGAGTTGCTTCATATATCTTGGTCCTAAAATATAAGGTTGAACAATCTCATCGTCAGGTCCGAGGTCTCCTGGGGCGCGTGTGGGCGCGTGACTCCAAGTCGAAGTCGTGCGAGAACCTGCATGTCCTCTAGCATTCGGTCGCCGAGCCCGTCGCCTGCTTCCCGTTCTTCGACTGCGCCGCCAACTACGCCTAAGAGCACCCCCCCCCCAACCAAACACTCCCCCCCCCCGCGCTCCCCACCCGCACACTGTTGCAGCTCTCGAAATCGAAAACGCGCAATGGAACGCAATAAGGTCAACGTCCCCAACGACCCCGTGTGACAAATCCTTCGCCTTACATTGCCGGCTTACGAACTGCTAATAAATCGAAGCGATAAGATAAGTTTATGTTTAATATAATAATACACGATTCCTATTTCGACTTCGAGAACTGTTCGGTGTCTATGTCTGCAGACATGTACGTATCTAGACGATGTATCTAAAACATATTAATGGGCACATATCGCACATACGGTGCGATAACGTCACTTATGCAAATTATATAATTTTTCAGGAGAAACTTTGGAAAATTCAATATCTTATTACATAATTCTTATTTAGTTCTGCTAAGCTATAGAAATAACATTAACTACAAACTTCATCAGTAAAAGCAAACATGACTCTCGTCCCACTAATAACTATTAAAAAATGTATTTTCTCATACTCAGTTACAAAAATTGCTTAAGTGACCATATAACACCGTATGTGAGATATAGCTTATAGCAGTCCCGCTCAAACAAGCCCGCTACTACGTCGTCTGTGAAAGCTAAATATATGTATGCGGACGCTATGCTTAATGAAATTTAAGCTGTCGTTTTGAAAGCCCAGTGCTGCTCACCATAGCGGAACAGTTAGAATGGCATTCATCAAACTAAAATTGGACTCATAAATCCGTAATAAGTGTTTTTGAATTGGACAATTACTTGATACAATACACAAAGTATAATGATTACTTTGTATATAAAGCTAACATGTTTATTTGGTACAGTGGTAGACCTCCAGTAGGACGCTGCAATGGCGAGGCTCCCAACGGTATAGCTGCAGCCCGGCGTAGGATGCCGGGTGCGTGCCGGGCGCGACCGCTTGCATTAATACCTCTTTTTTCCTTGTTACATCTGCCAGACCGCGTAAAAACGCGTCTTCCCTCAAAAAGCTCATGACGTAATCTGTCCAATTTAAAAATACACAATATAATAAAGTTATAAGTAATTTAGACAATCCTAACCCTAAAATCCAGGTAGCTTGATTTGAGATTAATTAACTTTCGTCCATTGCCCTTGTATAGTTGGAACTTGCGGTCTGAACATTCAAATAGGTATATTCGGACCGCTTAACACAAAAAAGAGGTTCTGTGAAATTTTTTGCTCTAAAATTAATGGACCTTTCAGTATTTTGTTATTCTGGAATATTTTCATGTTTATTTCCGTAACGAATTCTTCTTTAAGATGCGCGTCACTTGAATTTGTTAATTCAACAAAATATTCTTTAAGCACGGGCTCAAAGATTGAAAACCTCATCTTAAATGAGCTAGGTCTGTAATGTTAATCAGAATATAATAATATTGATTACCACCCTGCAATTAAAATTTTTATTTATTGAATTATGAAGAATTACAATTAAAAGCTATTTGGATGACCACTGGTAAGAAAAATTTTAATGGTACGTAAATAAAAACTGTGCTTAAATCGTATATTGTCAAAAGGGAAGAAAATGGGTTCGGCGAATTGTAAGCAAACCTTCACCGTGACGCCATGACGTTATCGTGAAGTGTGTGAAATTAAAATTGTAAAATTCGTAAAAAAAAAAATGGCGGTGTTACTCCAATGACCGACCATACGCCATTTAGTAGATATAATTTATTAACCTTTTTTTTACTTTAACCAAAATTAATATTAAAAGCTACTTTATTTAGTAGCTCCTGTATTTTTACCAACTGTCAAAGTCGTAACTGTAATTTTTTGATCTTTTTATTTTAAAAAAGATACGAAATAACAGTTGATGTCAAAATAATATAAATCAGTGATTACCTGTTATTTCACATCTTCGATATTAGTTAATACGTTTTTTTACTAGGTATAATATTTGTTTAGTTGTGACAAACTAAGAGCCTCCGACAAATCAAAGTATCGTATTAATGAAAAAAGTTGACCACAGGACTAGTGGGGGGCGTCTCAAACTTTTAGTCAAAAAGACGCACGTGCGAATGTACATAATTGAATCACTGAACTGTTCACACGTGCAGCTAAATCGAACCTATCAATTGTGTAGACAGTGTCAGTGACCTACAAGCACCTCACATCCTCCCTTCCTCCCATTAGCTCACCCCAATAACATCTCACTTCTACCTTGTGTGGCAAGGAGTTTCATGCCCAGACAGAGGGGTTCGCCCCGAGGTGCGTTCCGTAAGGGGGGGTTACGACGACCCTAACCACCAGTAGCATACAGCAATCTGGCTATCTGAAATGTGCATCAAGAAAACGATTCATTGGCTTGAAGCGTGTCCCTGTATTCTGTCTTACCCTGATCCCAAATAGTCATTGCAGGACTCCGGTCATGTTTTAGTGTGGCTCCTTGGTCCCAGACCTCCACGTTTGGATTTGAAAGAGGCTCTTACAATGTACTTAATTGTTTGCTAAAAAATTTATCGGAATAAAACTTGAAATCAATATGCTAAAGTATTTATGAGTATTAAATTAGTTAAGTTAACGAACTATTTAGACTAGTGAATGTATGTGATCCCCGAGTGTTTCCCGAGTGCTAGTGATTAATGTATTCATTACTTATTTTGAAAGTTTATTATATTATATAAAAGTGTTAGCATTTACAATGCAATTACCAATTAATAACGTCGCTTACATTCAGCAACGTTCAATTGATTATGTATTCTCAAACGATACAAACATTAACGGGTAGATATTGTTTCGTAAATGATAATGATAATATTGTGCCAGACCGTGACTGTCTGTGAGTTAAATTTGAAAATAACAATAAGCCGAAAATATGAACGTTTGTTAGAAATCCCTAAATACATTATTGAGTTTGTAAATGAAAGCGAATTTACTCTCTACCACTAAAATAAAAGTGCTTCGTTAAGTTATATTTTTGATTCTAGCGAAGATGCTGGCCCATAAATAGTTTAATGCTAGTACCCAAGGTAAATTACACACGCAGCCTTACGACAAACGAGAATATCAAACGTCGTATCTTTGATTTAATGTGACAGAATATAAAGGAGTACCTAGTATGAACAAAAAATAACAGCTAATACGTATCTAGTATCTGTACATTATTGTTTAGTGCAATATAAATACGCATATCGAATGGTGAAAGACTATTTTCTTAAAGCGAAATTTTTATAACTTTATAGGAGAATCATTTAAAGGTCAAAATTTGGAAAAACACTATAACCAAAAAGCTTCTTTAGCTATTTGAATAGGATAATTAGCATAATTGAATTTCAACTAAAAACATCGAATTTTTGATGGTAATCACTACCTAGTATAAAACAAAGTCGCTTTCTCTGTCCCTACCTATATCCCTATGTATGCTTAAATCTTTAAAACTACGCAACGGATTTTGATGCGGTCTTTTTTAATAGATAGAGTGATTGAAGAGGATGGTTTATATGGATAATAACATCCATTAAATAGTGGAGAAATCAATAATAAATTACAGTTTCTGAAGCTTTTTTTTTTTTTTTTTTTCCTACCTAAGCTGATAGCCCTAGCGGCTATGTCAGCGTAACCCTAACTTTAGTAGGTGAGCTCACGGGGCTCAAACCTGACGATTTCTGAAGCGAAGCGAGGGCGGGTCGCTAGTACCAAATAAAACGGACCTATAAATTACAAAGATAAATGTCGCGTGTTAAGAGAAATGTCGCTTAAAATAAATAGCCTTTCACCTTTCGATATAATAACCGTAAATCATTACGAAGCTTGTGTACACTAGAATGCTGTAAGGAAACTGAGGAAGCGTCTCTCGACTCGCTCCGATAGCGTGCGTGCTCTTTGCGCGCGACTACACACAAATGATTTAATCAACCACACACACGGTCGGCGTGTGCCACTTGTGTTTGTCCCTAGTTCTATTACCTAAATTATTTGTGACCGATCAAGTTTCAATTTCGGACAACTCAAACCTATTTTATAATTTATAGTCTTGTTTATATTCCTTTGACGAAAGGGATTGCTTTAACGATAGGAACCACTTATTGTGTTTGAACGATTAACTCCTAGTAAGTTCAATTAGAATTCTAGTGTTGTTTCCATTGCTTCTTTGTTTCGGATAATATTATTATATTAAAATATTGGGTCCAGAGCTTCAAAAACGAACTAGATTTTAAGCTGTTTCGGTTATGGGTATTGAGTATTTTATATTTGATATCTGTTGACACTGTCGCGTCATGTAAAGATAGTTCCAAGGAAGCGGTCGAGCGGTGAACTTAAATCTAAAATTTATATTAAATTCTATGTTGCTCAAAAATCATCTGTGAACGAACGCCGATACAAAAAATCAAAAACACAGTGAACTAGTCGGGGACGCGAGACCGCGTGGAGCGCTTCGTGATTTGTCGGCGCCGCTCGGAGCCGCTTCGGCAAGCCAATCGCGGCGCACTTATTTTTTCGTTTCGTTTCATTCCGTTTCATAGAGTTTGAAATCACAACGATTCTAATGAAGTTTCACTTCAAAAATTCTAAGTATCTTAATATATTACTTGAAAATGTTTCGTTTCTTTAAAATGACTCTCAATATATTTAAGATAATAATACAAATAATTTGACGTTCCATTCTTTATTGAGATATAGTTTATTTTGTTACATGGTATCGCTTACTGAATTTAATATCACAAGACAAGGCCACAACACAAGACTCGATCTGAAGCTGTAGAATCTTGAAGTGGATACACGTCAGTAAGGATCTCAAATTAACGACATCGTTTTCTTGTGACATTAGTGAATTCAGTAAACGCTAAGTATCTATACTAAATAAGTTATTTTTGATTTAAAATATAAAGGCGTCCCTCGTATAAAACGGGAGTTGTAAAACATTTGTATCGATATAACACGGTACACGGCTTTTTATTATTATCATTATTATATTTGAAGGCTTCGTATAACACGGTTTCGATATAACAAAGGCTAGGCCTCGATCTTACATTGTAAACCTTGTTTTGTATAACACGATTTCGATATAGCACGATACGGATCGTGTTATATGAGTACGAGGGAGGCCTGTGTTTGAAAACGTCAAATTGATTAGCGTAAAGTCACAGCTCAGTGGCCGCCGTCTCGATTATAGTCGATGTAGACGTGTCCGTTCCTGATGTGGCCCCGGACGACCTCACTCGGAGTGCCTCAACGTTGGAAGGTTGGTTCTGTCCCTCCGTGACACCCGTTTGCCTTATTTTTTAATAGAATTTCTTTTATTTGATTAGCAAGCGCGTATCTGATAGACGCTGGCCATGTTTTTAAAACATTTTATAGATTTACTAGCGTAACATTAGTATTATTGTATCAATTTGATGTTACTTTATTGGAGTATTATTAAACTAGCTTGATCCTTTAGGATAATCATGAGGAGGTTAGCTTTATAGTGTAGTATACGTGTGTTTATAAAGTACTCATCGTTCGTGTTTAATGTTTAGTACCCAGGGTCCAATAAAAAACACCAAACTCATCCCTCACCCTTGGACTGTCCTGGCGAATCCCGGTCCATCAGCAGTAGAGGCGTAGATGAGCTTACATTAAATTTAGGCGAAAGATAGTGTTTGATCAAAAATCAAGTTATGGATCCGTAATTATCGCAATGATCGCGATCGAGCAGGGAATCGACAATAAGAAATTGTGACGAATTAAATTCACAGATGCGAATTTGTTTTGCTAATGTACAAGTCTGATTGCAACTAGCGTTGAAAGCGATGGCTGATCTACTGCTGTGTCCTTCCTTTATTATATCTCCAGCACACATCCTTATTTCTCACCCCTTCCCTCCCAACTAGTCAACGTTTCATGTTACTAATAATATAGAATATAATCTGGTCATGAATTTAACACAAATAAAGAGTAATCTCATAGCGAAAACTGACATACACTAGTTTAAAAAAAAGGAAAATCGAATTAGTACCGTGCAACTGGCGATGTTCAAAGCATGAAACGCTTCAAGGATATTTTATTTAATCCCTTCGCCCTACATCCTTTAGGACCATTAGAGCAATATATATATTTATATTTTGTAATCCAATGTGTAGTGTAGGCTTAGTATACCTGATATCAGAGTCACAATCTCCAAGACGCAAGGTTTTAAACTGAATGATACTTAATGATACCTACTTGCAACGATTGAACATACTCACTCAGAGACCGCTCAACTCAACATTTACGGGTCTTTGCATTCTTCAAGGACATCTATGAAGGATTTCGTTTCAAAATCCATTGTCTTGGCGATTGTGAAATTAACTTTAACATTTTTATAAACATTATAGTCGTAACATTTGATCGTGAATACAGTATCAGAGTTCTAAGGTCGGTGGTACTCAACTAAAACCAATGAAACAATACGGAGAGCGGGTCGTGTTTCTGATCACGATGACCTTATTCGTGAGCTACATTGAACACTTGTTAGCCTTCGAAAGCACTTATATAGTGTTAAGTCGTTATGATAAGTTGTGGAAAGCCCGAGAAGCTACACTCAGAGGCTTTTTTTTTATTGCCTAGATGTGTGGACGAGCTCACAGTTCACCTGGTGTTAAGCGGTTACTGGAACCCATAGACATCTACAACGCAAATGCGCCACACACCTTGAGACACAAATTCTAAGGTCTCAGTACTGCCCCACCCATCAAACCGAAACGCATTACTGCTTCATGGCAGAAACAGGCGGGGCGGTGGCACCTACCCGTGTGGACTCACAAGAGGTCTTACCACCAGTAAAAAAGTGGCCTTTGAATTTCCCATGTGCATTCTCACAGATGCTAAACAGCTAGTAAACCATATTACATGTTTAAGCCTGAAGATTCGCTAAATCCTACAACAATAATTAAAATCACATAGCTTCGCTCCTGGCGTTCCCTCGCCACAAAGCCTGCGCGTCCTCGACATGAGAGAGTCCCGAAGGCTCCAGATTGCCAAGTGGTTTTTCAATGCAAGGAAACTTCAGTTCCATTTTAATGCCCTCTACTTTTAACCAAGAACCACAGCGCATGATCAGTCATCGTCGAGATGTCGCAGTAATTACCATACTCAGTAGATACCTAATTAATTTAGACTACTAGTAATTTAAACTACTTTTATGGCTTAATTTATCGTTTATTATTTTTCTAATATTATAAATAGGACGGTGGTTAACGTAAAATTTAATAACGAATAACCACTCTGTCATCTGACCACAACAGCCGTAAATGATTAGACCCGTCGGAAATAATAAACGCGATATTAATTACCATATCAGTAAGTTTAGTAATTATTTCGGTGACACGCTAAAACCGAATGATATAATATACATTTTGCATTAATTCCTTTGCCATATAGTTTTAATTGAACACCCGACCTTATAGCTCTGGTAAACAAAATAAAATTATTTCTATGTATTACGACGGTGAAGCTTCTAGTGAACAGTGACCAGCACAAACTGTATCTATACAGTTTCATTCTTTCTTATCACATACTCGACATAATTCTCTAAAACGGCCGCAATAATAATATATAAAGTCATTTCCATTAAAAACTTAATCAATATAACTATTAACATATCTCATATACAATTTATTTCTGAAAGTTAGCGCACAAAAAATAAATCAAAAAGATGTATCAACGTTTTTGCATTTGGCAACATTGACGCCACTTAAACTATGTTTACTGAGTAACGAACTGTGTTTTATGTACTTGCTTTTAAGAACTATTTTAGTTTGAATGCTCAGTACAGTACTTGTGATTTTTTTATATCTGAACTCCAAAATGAATTGAAAATAAAAACTTCACGTTAGAAACCGAAAAATGACGCTCTGAAGACTCCATGGTCAGATTCAAAATTATTTTGATACATTGATTCAGTGTAATAATACTCAAGAGATATAGATGTAGATTTTGTAAAAATGAACCCACTGAGTTTCTCGCTGGATCTTCTCAGTGGGTGGCGATTCCAATCTGGTAGAAGATTCTGCAAAGCACTACTCTTGCTACGGTTAGTGTTAGCAAGTTATCAAGTAATTAATAACAATAACAATCCTTCCCACGTGAGCATTTAAACTAAAATGGTTTTCAAATACTATTATATATTTATGTATTATCCTTTATTAAAAGTCGGGGAGAGTGCCAAATATTTAAAGAACTGTAGAATACGCGTAAGATTCAATTATAATTTTCAATCACTCATTATATATAAAAAACATAACTAGATATACATAATAAACAAAAAATTATACATTTTGTTTAAAGTAATAAGTTAATTTGCTGGTGGCAGGCTGTACTGTTAGACCATCGCGATGCATATTTTTGCCACGAAGCTAAACTGCAAACTTGACACTTTAACCTCATGTGTCAAGACGGGTAACGGCATTCGATTTATAAAAATTCTGTGGGCTCTGGTAAACACTTACCACCGAGCGAGCCGCGAGCTTGGCCGCCCAGTTATGCAATAAATGTGAAAGAAAAAAAACAGCGGGCACTTTATTGCACTGATTGTAACGTAATAAGTAATTTTACTGAGACGATTGATTTGATTGAATGCATTGTAATAATATTAATGATTTTTTTTTGGTTAGTCAGCTGGACGAGCTCACAGCCCACCTGGCGTTAAGTAGTTACTGGTGCCCATAGACATCTACAACGTAAATGCGCCACCCATCTTGAGATATAAGTTCTAAGGTCTCAAGTATAGTTAGAAATAATTGATTCACACATGATTCACACTATGAAAGTGATTTCTCGTTAGTTTCTCCGGTTGTTTAAATATTTAGCACTCGCTCAACTCAACGCTGTGTGTTTAAGCTCTTCTAAATAAAATGGTGGGTTTCTGTGTTTTCAATGTAATTTCATAGTTGAGTGTGTTATATTATAGCGTTATATCAATTGAATTTGTATTTGTTTGTCGTCTGAAGTGTAATGTTTCGAGAAATATTAAATGATGTTTTATTAAATAAAGGAGTTATTTGATTTTATTTACAAAAAAAAAACATTTAATCTAGTATCCACAGCGATAATACACAGGGGGATCGAATTAGACTTATTAGAACAGTAGGTACAGAAGATCCCGCGCCCTCTCGTGACCGAGGACCGACATACACTGTGTTCAATGGATGGAGGGGTCGGAGGGGTGGAGGGCGCAACAGAATAATATAACAGACTAATATTTTTGCATAAATTTAATTTAATCTATAATAAAGATCCAATTTCATTTAACAATTTGTACTTTTTTATAAATACAGTAAAGTGTAATTATTAATCGATAAGTAAGTCGAGAGCTTAGATTATTTTAATTGTTAAGCGGTTAGCGTAATGTTACGACAAGTCCCCTGAAGTCGTGGACTCGCGACCGACATAGGTCCGTTAACATCACATTATTACATCTCAAGGGTTTTGCTTCTCGCATTAGATTCTTTGACACCATACCTCAAGACGAGCAGAGCATAAATTTTATCTGCCCTTATAGACAAATATTTCTTGACATATTTGAGGTACTGGACACGGTGGTAGATTAATAATATAATTAATTGAGACACCGCTTTCATCCAACTGTTCAACGCCCCCTGAATGAGGTTTGAGGTGAGGTTGGAAAAAGTCCTTAGAAGTAGTTGGCAACTGTACTACTGACAACAGTAGGCCACGCTCAACCCGGTGGGTTAATTTCTTTCGGCAGCAGATGTTGTTCCAATTATTGTAAAACAGAGCCATCTCTTGGTAGTCCCGTGAACCACTACGGCAGTGGCAGGTTAAAATGTCTCGTTGTCAAACCACTGCCACATCCTGGGCTTGGTGAAGTCTAACTCGTACTCTTCGCATCTCTGCCCAGTGATGCTGCAACATATCAACTATCTATATATTGACCTGCTAAAAGCAAATCAACTTGTTCACGATCGAAAATAGAAATGTCCAATTAAGGCTCAGTCATGCGTTTTTAGTTTGAGATTTTTTTATTGTATGCGATAATCGTCTATCACTCACCGCGTCCTCCTCGCGCACCTCACGATAGGGTGAGCCCGCCTGAAGCACTGCGGCCCCAGCACGTTGAAGTACGTCAGCCCTATCTGGGCCGACACCAGCGAGTTGGTGCGCCTCAGACACTCCCGGAACTTCACGTCGCAGCTACAGTGCGACCTGCAGAGACCATGTGGAATAATGTTCATCAGTTAGTCGATATTTTGTAGTGGCTCCGTCGCAGGGTGCGAGGGCCAGGAGCGTGGGAGCTGGGGGTGGTGGCACAGCTCTCCGTGAACCGGAACGTCGCTGTCACTACAGTTTGGTGCCGGCGCGTGTGTGCTTCTCAAACTTTACTAAGCTCAAAGCGGTAGATTGTGGAATGTTTTGGTTTTTAATGTGGTTATTACGAGCGCGATTTTGGACACGTTTCCCGCAAACGCGAACGAATTGCATGATTCCTCAGCAGGAATTAAGAAAGACAACGTTCTGCTCAAGGTCGAAGCTGGGGCAAGGTGTACTGGTGCCCTGCATATTACTGCCGCTAAGCAATCATGTGTTCTTGTTTGGACACCGTTTTGAAATACAACCGCGATTTCGACCTCATGTTCCGCGGTGGGTGCTGGCATTCGCAGTGGGTTCTTCGAAAGGTCTCCTACTTATCTGGACAAATAACAGCAGAGGCTCCATGAAACCAGAATCGAGTGCCCGAACTATCTCGTCAATAATTACCGGACAGGTCTTGTAAGTTCTAAAGAGATAACAGCATTGATATAGACGATAAAATTTAAAGACCAGCTGAAGACAGGTTCTCGAATACCCGTCAGGTACGTTCGCAGCGGCCACGTAACAGCTATGTTACATAACGGAGCGACGAGAAAGTGAAACATTAGAACCGTTTACTTCTTACTGCTGATGGTAAAAACTGAATTAAATTGAGGATAATTCAATGGCAATGGAGCCCGGCGTGTGAGCGCGTCAAACCAGCTAAGCCTCAATAGCCCCCCGACCCTGCGAGCAGCAACGCATCGCTTTTTTAACTGCATTCAAAATTGAGTTCACTTTTACGCTATCGAGAACGTTAAAAAACTCGCACTGAGCACACAGGGCTCTCAAAGGCTCAGGGCTCTCTAACAAAAACATTGAAGAGAAACGTGAGCTGCCGTGAATTATGCAATACTTCCTAACAGCACGAGACAATGCGGTATCTTGCGATGCGCTTAAAAGATTATTTGTATGACCGCTGTCTCCTCGCCGCACGCATTTGTGTAACTATTTTTTTTTGCTTAGATGTGTGGACGAGCTCACAGCCCACCTGGTGTTGAGTGGTTACTGGAGCCCATAGACATTTACAACGACGTAAATGCGCCACCCGCCTTGAGATATAAGGTCTCAGTATAGTTACAACGGCTGCCCCGCCCTTCAAACCGAAACGGATTACTGCTTCACGGCAGAAATTGGCGGGGTGGTGATACCTACCCGTGCGGAATCACATGAGATCCTACCACCAGTAAAAATTGTATTGTACAATAGTCAAAATAAAACGTACCATTTCAGTGAATTTAATATGTTGCTATCACACGAACTCTACCAGAGAAGCTTGCATGTAGAGACGTGAATATTTAATATAACAGAATTCGCCAAAATTGATTTGCTTCTATTTGATTATGTCTTGGAGCACGCGGTAGTATTATCACCCAGTCACATTTATTATTGACTCAACATTATTTAGCACAATTCATATACTTTCTTCTCAAAATAAGGTGTAGAGTTTCCCTTTTGAAGAATCTTGCTAGGGGACTATTCATGTAATTGATATTAAAATAAACATTTACAAACGCCTAAAAGAATTTAAATAATCAACACATCCGCATCGGCAATACCACTTCCAGGAATAAGCGGAAAATAGTATTCATTTGCTGAATGTTTCTAGTCGGTTCGTGACTCTGGGAATTAACAAAAATAAACTTATTAACCCCTCAATCGATAGTAAGTAACTAATTACGGTAGTAAGTAAGTCCTCAAGCTTATGTTATTTATATGTAGCTGTCACTTTACTAGAGTTATTTAAGACATTTGGATAACAATTATAAGAACCATATGACTTTTACGTAAGATTTTGTTATAAATAACTCAAATAAATTACTATATGTAGGTAGGTAGGTGTCTTGCGTCACACGTCACCCGAGGCCATTGACCTCTTATATGAACTAATATTACGTTGCGTTCAATTAAAATAACCATACGCATAATTAATTAATAACGTTTTATTTATAATTGCATCGTCGTTAACCCCGCCCTCCAGTCACCTTCCTAACTAGGAGCGGCTGTCGAACAGAACTGACCTTGTGAAGAGTCCGGTGTTGGTCAGGCCGTACTTAGAGTCTCCAGCCTTGATGTACAGCTTGCAGGCGTCGTGCTGCCGACAACACGTGTCCGTGAAGAAGAAGAGGCCAAGGTCACCAGAGCGCGCGGCCGCGGACCTTCCGTCGCCACACCACACCGTCCCTGCCAGGGGATGCGGTTGCTCATACAAACCCATGGAAGCGGAGTTTTTATTTATTTATTGCTTAGATGGGTGGATGAGCTCACAGCCCACCTGATGTTAAGTGGTTACTGGAGCCCATAGACATCTACAACGTAAATACGCCACCCATCTTGATATATAAGTTCTATGGTCTCAGGTATAGTTACAACGGCTGCCCTACCCTTCAAAACTGAAACGCATTACTGCTTCACGGCAGAAATAGGCAGGGTGGTGGTACCTACGCGCGGACTCACAAGAGGTTCTACCACCAGTAGGCGACAGTAGAGTTGCGACTGCGCGAAATTCTTGTGTAAAATTGAAACAAGATTGAAAACTTTAAAATTGGGAGTCGTCGTGGCCTAAAGGTTGAGACGCCAGGTCCATTCGTATCGAGCGATGCGACTGTGACCATCTTCTAATCCCATAAACAGGTCCATTTGCCTAATGAACCACGAACTTAACACATCCTTACTTCCACGATGAAGGAATAGGTAGTAGTGAAACCAAACCCGCTTAAATTATGACTTGCGTAATTACTGGTGGTAGGAGGTCTCACGAGCCCACGCGGACCACTGCCTTGCCTATTTCTACGGCGAAGCTACTGCTTTGCATTACTATGCATTCCTGTTTGAAGGGAAAAACAAATAGCATTCTAAGGAGGGTGGCAGCATTCACGTTGCGAATATATCTCTTATAAGATCCTCCAACCACTGCCCATCAGGTGAACGCTATCCTTCTAGATCAACAAAAAACCCGTGGTGCCGTTACAGTCTCACACCGAACATATTCCCTGTAAAGTGTGTAACCGCCACTCACCTGGATAGATAGCTTGCACCCGATCCTTGAAAGTATCGACAAGTGAGTTGGCAACGTTGGCAACACTGGTCACTCCTGATGCCAAACTGGAAACGAATCCCCGATCTGTGTCCAGAGATCCTATATCTCTAGCTCCAGCCATCAACTGACTGAGCGGTCTCGAGATACCTGTTGATATCGTTTTGATGATGCCCCGGGTGAATTGACCTGAAAACATTAATCCTATAAGTTACATATGTGGTGTTAGGCCCGGTCTTGGGCCAACACGGATGCACCAAGCAACTTAGTTCTGTCCTGTCAGATGAAGCGTACCGGTGCGAAGATTAACTACATTAGATAATATTAAAATTCTTAGTACAACGAAACTTTGACTTCAAGATGGGAAACTGTTTGAATTACATACAGCCACATATTATCATATCGTCTAGGTATTGGATTTAATATGTAGCTAGAAGATATACATTACCTCACATTAGTCACCAAGATTGACCAATAAACACATTTACCTTCATTCTCTAAATAATACATCTATCGAGACACCAACCTATGCCACCATTCTCCTCTTTACTCCTCAGCCGCTCAGATTCTAAAGCTTCGCTCTGCCTCTGCATTCTCTTAAACAAGTCGAAAACGCTCTTCGGGACAACCCTTTCTGCTACAGTCTCTACTACACTCTCCACAACGCTCCCTGCAAGTCCAAATATAACTGATAACGCATCGGTCCTTGGAGCCGTAGTAGGTACAACATCTTTAGTATCATAATAATCCTCTGGAACTTCTATTTCTTCTTCGGCGTCTAATTCTGTAAATATTGGTACATCTGCATCGGTTTCTCTACTTTCTTCTATTCTGCTTTCATTCGTTTTTTTTATTTCCAATTTTGTAGTGTTTAAAAGCTCAAAATTAATATCTGTTACATTAGAATTAGTATCTTCTGTAGTATTAATCACTGAATCTTCTGTAGATTTATAAATTTCAGTTAGTGCTTTAGAATTGTTGTAATTTTCTTTCGATATTTGTTCTATGAGCGTCGTTTCATCAAAGCTCTCAGTTGAAACATTAACTTCATCACTTTCCGAAGTAACCTCACTTGTTGTTTCAAACGGAAATTTAGTAGTTTCATTGTTGAGATGTACTTCTATTTCCTTCGAAATTTCTTTTTCTTGTTCAATAATTTCAATTTTTTCAATAGTTGTAGTTTCAGGGTAGTCTGTAGATACAGGTAATGTTATTGAGTCTGTTATTGTTATATTAGGTACTTTTGCGGTTGTGGACAAAGGAATAACACTCAAATCTTGTTCTGTAGTACTTTCAATAATACTTATCAACGTATTCTCAGTCGTAGTAATTAATTCCAGTGGGATCACTCTGTAATCTTCTGTAGTAGTAGCATCGTTATTTCTAATATTCTTTGCTTTATTTTTACTTTCGAATATTTTTTCGCCAATGTCATTAACAATAGTGTATCTGTGTGTTTTTTTATTGAAATATTCGTCATCGTGCCACGACGTTATACCGTACTTTTTATTAAATTTGAATGTGTTGTCTTCTTCGAAATCTATTAAGTTATTATCCAAATTATCGTCATTCGTTTTAGCATTTGCAGTCATCTGAAAGGATCTAGCTTCGGTCCTTGTTATGCTCACAATTAAAAGAATTGATAAATAAAAATCAATCAACTTTTTTCTGGCCGGATGATACATTTTTCGGATATCTAAAACAAAATAATGAGTTTGTACTGGAGTATGCTGGGACTATCTGGGTACTTACAAGCCAAAACAAAGATTTTGCGACTTTATACATTTTTTTATAGATATAGTCATAATTCAGCTATCTATGTTCAACATCACAAATGTCAATTAATAGCTTAACAGTTAAATCATCAGACCTGCTTATAGCAGACTAAGAGTTTACGAAGCAAGGAATAAAACCCTGACCCTGAATAAGACCCTGATAATATTAAGTCGTCGTGGCCTAAAGGATAAGACGTCCGGTGCATTCGTGTTGAAGCGATGCGATGTTCGAATCCCGCAGGCGGGTACCAATTTTTCTAATGAAATATGTACTCAACAAATGTTCACGATTGACTTCCACGGTGAAGGAATAACATCGTGTAATAAAAATCAAACCCGCAAAATTATAATTTGCGTAATTACTGGTGGTAGGACCTCTTGTGAGTCCGCGCGGATAGGTACCACCGCCCTGCTTATTTCTGCCGTGAAGCAGTAATGCGTTTCGGTTTGAAGGGTGGGGTAGCCGTTGTAACTATACTGAGACTTTAGAACTTGTATCTCAAGGTGGGTGGCGCGTCTACGTTGTAGATGTCTATGGGCTCCAGTAACCACTTAACATCAGGTGGGCTGTGCGCTCGTCCACCCATCTAAGCAACAATAAAAAAAATACGTTAATATGTCATTCATAATATAGCTTTTGCGACCTGCTGTCCACTTAACACTAATTAAGCTGTGAGCTCGTCTATCCATCAAAGTTAATATNCAAATCATCGCTCTTGAATTTTCTCGAGTCAATTCCATTTTCTCAACGACTAAACAAGTTTGACAAAACCTCGTGACATGACCGAGAATCTTTTTTTAAATAAATAAATGGAATTCGATTTTTAAAACCAAGGAAATTCAATTAAAAAGATTTTAATATGACAGGAACAGTGGAAATATTCCATTCCCGATACTTTTAGTGCAGCCCTCGTACAAAGTTATTATATTATATTATATTAATTAAGGAGCAATATAAGGAGCAACAATATATTGTGTCCTGAAATCATTATGTTCAATATGTGGTCCACCTAGGGACCAGCTCAGGGGGGGGTCATGACCCCCATGACCCCCCCCCTGGATCCGCCCTTGTTTACAACTCCAACGCCATACAAATTTGAGTTAACTTTTACGCTATCGAGAACGTTAAAAAACTCGCACTAAGCACACAGGTGTCAATTGCTTTAATGGCGACCTTCAGAGTTTTTCTGACGCTCAGCAGCTAAGCGGCTCTGAACACACGACAGTTATAATATTAAAAAGTATGGGTTGCTTTTCAGGATATTATCAAAATAACCCTTCTACTCATCTGTTCATAAAATATGTACAACTACTGATACCCTCGCTTTTTTTACAATAAAATTATTTTTTCTTACACTATTTTTAATTCAAATTTATTAAAATCTATTTTCTATTTTTTAGTTGAATCTTCTATAAAAGCGTATTTTGTTATCTTTTTTAAACTATTATTTATTTTTAATTTTTTACTTGAATTTAAATTTTTTCAATATATTTTTTTTATATTGTTTTGTCATTGGTCCTAAATAAGTATACCAAATTTCGAGTTAATCCGACGTTTTGAAGGGGGTCAAAAACATGTTCAAAGATTCCGTTACATACTAACATACATACGTCTGAAGCTAATAAAAGCGTGTATTAATAAAGACTCCGGCCCCCCGTGTGATACAGACACCGCTGGAGCACGGTCGTATGTTGTGTCATCGTATAGATTGATTGGCAAACTAAATGTCATTGACCTCGTCATTGTTGACGCTCAAGTGTCAAGGTAAGAGCGGAGCATTTACGAAATTTTTAAACTAATTTCGTAAAACATAATATGTGTCAAAATGCTTACCCACTGCTGTCCTGAAGCAATTGCGTTCGGGATAAGCGATGGCCTACGTTCTCTACCCCTATGTACACTTTAATTGGTTTATTGGTCACTTTGAGACACGAGGATGAAGATAGCTGCCCTACCATTCAACATACTGGACAGCTACCCGTGGGGGTTACAATTTGCCCTAAAATCCAAGGATAAAATTAGGAAGACGGGTAGGAATTTGAATTTGAATTTTATACATCGTCACAGCTAAGCGGAAGTAAGCAGCGGCTAGGGATGGCAGATTATTATCCTGTTAATCTCGCGTTTTTTTAATGGGGTAGTTAGGACAATATTCAAAAGTCGCCCAATAACAACCTAATCGTCCGCGACCACGAAAACTAATGTATTGCAAACGTCGGTAATAATAAAATGATAATAAAAGACGCGCAATTAAACCGTAATACTAGTTTATCATCTATATGATAATATGTGAAGCAAAAACTTTGTACCCCTTTTTACGAAAATTGCGCGGACGGAGGAGTATGAAACTTCCCACACTTATAGAGAGTACTATAGAGAAGGAGTGCAGAATGTTAATATTTATTTTAAACTATGCAATTAAATCACCACACTGCCGTGTATTTGACACACACACGCATGCATACTATTTATTTATTGTCAAACTTTTCTTATTGCTTATAGTCTGAGGTCAAACTGAGAATAAATTAAATATAGTTTGTCTTTATTAAGATTTGTCTAAAGTGTAGTCTTGGCAAAATCTGTAATTATAGAAGAATAAAAATAATAGTCGAATTGCGACTACCGGGGGACTAGTTATCTTATTTATGTTGTATTAACGACTCGCGGTAACCGTAAGAAAATACCGAATCTATATATTAATACGTGAAGCAAAAACTTTGTATCCCTTTTTACGAAAATTGCGCGGACGGAGGAGTATGAAATTTCCCACACTTATAGAGAATATAGAGAAGAAGTGCACTATGCTAAATTTTTTTAAATAATGCAATACAAGATACATTAAATCAATAAAGAAAACATTACACACACTACATACCATGTATGTGACGCACACACGCATGCATACTATTTGTTGTCAAGCTTTTGTTCTTGACGTCTGTGGTCAAATTGAGAATAGATTAAATATTGTTTGTCTTTGTTAATATTTTTATAGCGTAGTCTTGGCGAAATTTGTGATTATAGAAGTATAAAATGCAATCATAATAGTGTACAAACTTACAATTCCAATTAATTATAGTCGAATTTCGACTACTGCGGGACCTCTAGTTATTATTAATCTAGGTACCTCTGACCCTGGCTTCGTCACATATTCCCTTACTGTGTACCCTATACCGGGAAGATCACCGCGGAGCGAGGTCAGCTCAGTGTTAGTGCTGACAGCTAACAGCCAAGAATTCACGGTTTGACATTGTTAATGGTGCGGACGATAGTTCCATAAAAAAACATAGCTGCTATTGCGTGAATTGTGTCATAAGCCCAAAACTAATGAGAGACGTCTCCACTTAGAATCACTTACCACTACGGTCTTACACTCATATTAGTTTAGCAATATACGCGAATACGTTAAGTAACGGCTACTCTAGACGGTAAGTGCGTAAATGCTATAATACTCGAGATTGAGGCCTCATTCTTCAATACGAATGCTAAATATAAAATAACTAGCGACCCGCCCTCGCTTCGGAAACATTAAAACACACATAAAAAAAAAATAAAAAAAAAAATAAAAAAAAAAAATAGTAGCCTATGTTCATCAGGGACAATATCGGCTTCTAATGGAAAAATAATTTTTCAAATCGGGCCAGTAGTTTCGGAGCCTATTCGAAACAAACAAACAAACAAACAAATCTTTCCTCTTTATAATATTAAGTATAGATATAGATATAGACTAACTGGATTCTCTTCGGTGGTCGCGACTCGTAGGCACTATACTGTGTGCTTAGTTCGAGTCTTTTAACGTTCTCGATAGCGTAAAAGTTAACTCAAATTTGTATGAAGTTGGAACAGCGCCCCTAGCGGCAAACGTAGGTAAATGTTCCAACTCCATACAAATTTACGATATCGAGAACTTTAAAAAACACGCACTAAGCCTACAAACTGGTTGTCATTTGAAGGAAGGGCTACCCAGACTCAAGGAATGGCGCGTTTTTAAATTAAATAAGCCGACAAAAACAGCAATTAAAATATTGGACATGGATTAAAATTGGACAGGGTTAAAATTCAGAAAACCTTACACCGCTAGTCTACTTTAGAAAAATGTTTTTTTTTTTATTGAAGGATTACTGGTGGCCTTTCCAGTTTCACCAGGACAGGTGGGCGAGCAAAGGCTCAGCCAGGAGGGGTGGGATTTGCTAACAGCTACCCGAGCACCTCCGAGGGAGACCTAACAACTCAAGTTGCTTCGCGAATGAATCTACTACCGGATCGGAATCGCGATCCGCTGAGAAGATCCGGCGAGAAACTCAGCGGACTGATGTATGGGTTAGGTTGCACGTCGAACTCTTCTTTGTCGAATTACACGCGCTGTACGTATCGATTGAAGTTTAAATATATATACAAATTTAAATACATTATATAGGTTAATGTCATTTTTTAATACCACCGCCAAAGAATCTTGCAGTGTCCCCGCAAGAACTGGCCTCATGATGCCCATAAAAGGCCCAAGTCTCTGCCGCTTGGCGACGGAGAAACATGTTTCGTCACGTGCCCTATTTATATAATTATAATTGAAGCTCATAATGAGCGAGGCAAGTAGGTTGACAAAACCGCTTACGAAACCACAAACCTTGACATTTATTAAAAAAAAATCTGACGAGATCAATGGTGTAATGTTGGATTTTAAGTACTATTTCGTTGTTATTAAGCCGATGTGCAACTATGGAAATGAGGCACGGGGCTATTGCTTAAATAAATCTATCATTTTTAAGTAAATTTGTCTTTCGGCCGAAAATCCACAATCCACATTGACATATTAGGCCGAAATCTCAATGGTTCGAATCCCACAAGGGACAAACATTCGTGTGATGAACAGGTTTGTTTGGTTCTTGTTTCTGTGTTCTATATAGTATGTATCTCAATCTCGGGTCTCATAACACAGGGTATCGTAATTGGGGATCGGATGACCATGCGTAATTTGTTCCCAGTTACTTATGGTACAGCGACTACCCAACCTAACTACTATGTTGCAGAAATACGCCTATGCATGACGGTGATACTTACTCATCCAATATTTTTTTTGTTTACATTGATGGACGAGCTCACAGCCCATCTGATGTTAAGTACTAACTGGGGCCCAGAGACATCTACAACGTAAATGCGCCACCCAACTTGAGATATAAATTTCTAATGTCTTAGTACAGTTACAACGGCTGCCCCACTCTTCAAGCCGAAACACATTACTGCAGAAATAGGCAGGGTCGTGGTACCTACCCGCGCGGACTCACAAGAGGTCCTACCACCAGTAATTACGCAAATTATAATTTTACGGGTTTGATTTTTATTACACGACGTTATTCCTTCACCGTGGAAGTCAATCGTGAACATTTGTTAAGTACGTATTTCATTAGAAAAATTGGTACCCGCCTGCGGGATTCGAACACCGTTGCATCGATCGATACGAATAAACCGGACGTCTTATCCTTTAGGCCACGACGACTTCAGACGAATTCATACTAAATCACCAGTAATTACGTTAATTGTATTTTTTAAGTCTAATATTCATTGTGGGGGTCTTTCGTGAACCTGTACCGCTGTTGGCTCTGATAGTCAGCTGGTTTGTGTTATCACGCCACGGACGACAGCTGTTGCTCTTGGACAACAACAATAGACATAGTCGCTTAATATCGCAACACAACTCAAGTGTTTCCAAACTAAATTCATTTCTTAATCGTATCGTGTGAAACACATATTTGCATGGAAATATTAATTCTGACAATAAAAAGATGGCGCAACATAAAATCTGATAATCCGGTAGATGAATGAGTCGTTTGTAATGAAACCATAGACTTTGTTAGAAATATTGTGAAATAGAATACGTGGATATAATTAAAACTAATTTTACGACTGATATGAAGCCGTTTATTATTCACGACTATTTGATTAGTTTACCTATAGGTTTCCTGTGTGCTCAGTGCGAGTTTTTTAACGCTCTAAATAACGTAAAAGTTAACTCAAATTTGTATGGAGTTGGACAGCGTTCCTACGTTTGCCGCTAGGGGCGCTGTTCCACTTTTACGTTATCGAGAACGTTAAAAAACTCGCACTAAGCACACTGGTCACGAGCGTATGTTTGTTACAGGAAGATAATAACTTAGATTAACTAATAACATAGATCAAGTCACGAAGCGACTCGAACGAAAATAAAAAAATTAAAATATTTGGAGAAAAGCGGGCGCCCCGAAGAAAGAAGAGAAAAAGAAGGGAGAAGAGTGAAGAGAAGAAAGTAGAGATCGTCCCACCTATCACGATTTCATGCCTGCCATCTACCAACCCGCAGCTCAACACCTCTGCCTCGATAGGCAGGGAGTTAGATGCCCGGGCAGAGGGGTTTCCCCGAGGCCCGCTCCGCGCCCCCGCAAGGCGACGCGACGACCCCATGGAATGAAATTTGTAAATTTTGTCCCCTTATTTTGTGATGTCACATCGTGGTTTTGTACCCTGTTCCAATTTGTTTAACAAACAAAACAGTAATCCGTACCGAGAGCCGGGATAGTGGTATTAAAAAAAACGTCACGATGACTGTCTGTGTGTTTGTTTAATTTGGAACTTCTTTAAATAATTAGTTCACAGACCCCACTTGTGGTACCTACCCGCGCGGACCCGATATAGATAAATAACACCTAGCTTTGCAATACATGCGGAGCTGGTCCCCCGATTGATGGGGACGGCCGGTTCTTTGAGCCGGCTGCTCCCGAATATTGGGGGACCGGATCAGGTTGTGCGCCGTCTCTACGCGGGGGTGGTGCGATCGATGGCCCTGTACGGTGCACCTGTGTGGGCTGAGCCGCGCAACCGGGCCACTATGGCTCGGTTCCTGCGCCGGCCGCAGCGCACCGTTGCCATCAGGGTCATCCGCGGATATCGCACCGTCTCCTTCGAGGCGGCGTGTGTTTTGGCGGGGACGCCGCCATGGGAGCTGGAGGCGGAGTCGCTCGCTGCCGACTATCGGTGGCGCAGCGAGCTTCGTGCTCGGGGCGTGGCGCGTGTCCCCGAGAGTGAGCTGCGGGCGCGGAAGGCCCATTCTCGGCGGTCCGTGCTCGAGTCGTGGTCGAGGCGATTGGCCAACCCCACGTGGGGGCTACGGACCGTCGAGGCGGTTTACCCGGTCTTTGATGACTGGGTGAATCGTGGCGAGGGACGTCTCACCTTTCGTCTGGTGCAGGTGCTGACCGGGCACGGATGCTTCGGGAAGTACCTGCGCCGGATAGGGGCTGAGCCGACGACGAGGTGTCACCATTGTGGACACGACCTGGACACGGCGGAGCATACGCTCGCTGTCTGCCCCGCTTGGGAGGTGCAGCGCCGTGTCCTGGTCGCAAAGATAGGACCTGACTTGTCGCTGCCTGGCGTCGTGGCGTCGATGCTTGGCAGCGATGAGTCATGGAAGGCTATGCTCGACTTCTGCGAGTGCACCATCTCGCAGAAGGAGGCGGCGGGGCGAGTGAGGGAAAGCTCTCCTCACTACGCAGAAACCCGCCGCCGCCGAGCAGGGGGTCGGGACCGGGGTCGTATCCGTGACCTGGCCCCCTAAGAGCTAGGGGTCCCACCCGTTTTGTGCGGGGAGAGACCCAGACGAGGGGTGGCGTGCTCTGCACGCTCACCCGCAATAGGAAGCCGGGTGATGGTAGACCGCGTTCCCCCGACCGCTCTGGGGGAAGGTGTAACGCGGCGCCATCAAAGCGGGCTCTCGGCCCGCTGAACGAGGGAACCGGTGGTCGTTTCGCTGGCGGCCACCGGTCCGGCGTCCGTGGGACGGTGGGATGGATGTAATGTGCTCTGCGTCAACCCTGTCCCGCCGTTTCAATAGCCCCGACTGGGCTCCGGCCCGGTCCGAGGTAGGGCGCCGGTTGTGAGCGGCAGGAGTTTTTAGTGAGGTTCAACTCCCACATACCCCACCTGCCGCGCGGGTGGGGATCCGGCGATTTTCTCCTGTGGAAAAAAAAAAAAAAAAAAGCTTTGCAATACATAGGTATAGGTTTTGTGAACATGTTTCGGTGGGTAATGACTAGGCTGTGCGTCCCTGGTATTGGAAACCACTCGCCATCTTGTGGGCCGAAGGCTTGTCTACCTCCAAAGGCAGTAAAAAAAAGAAAATGTCTCCGTATTACAATCACTAATTAATATTAAGCGTTTCTTCAATTTTATACGTTCACGTAATCGAAATAATAAAATAATGCAAATATATGAGTAATTGGATCAACAGCAACTTGCGCTCGTAATAACACGCTCCGTGGTCACGAGGTCGCCGGTTCGGGTTCAGATAAAAATCTTGTAATAAATATGGGCCTTACGTGAAATGTCGATGAAACGGTCCGTGGACCAAACTTTTTTTTTATTGCTTAGATGGGTGAACGAGCTCACAGCCTACCTGGTGTTAAGTGGTTGCTGGAACCCATACACATCTACAACGTAAATGTGCCACCCACCTTGAGATATCAATTCTAAGGTCTCAAGTATAGTTACAACGGCTGCCCCACCCTTCAAACCGAAATGCATTACTACTTCACGGTAGAAATAGGCAGAGTGGTGGTGCATCTTGAGAGATGCCTATGCCCAGCCGTGGACAAAACTTGTTGATGATACTAATAATATAAGAAGGAGCATGTTGTTTTGTCTATAGTTTTTATTACGTGTGAAGAAAAAAAATAGAGGACGAAATTTTAAAGAAGAATTTTTTTTATTCTATTTTAGTTTTTTTTCTATTTCTTCAATAATTCTGTGCCTTTGGGCAGCTACAGCTAGAACTGAAAATACCAATGTCACAATCAAATACGAAGGTTCGTTTCAACCAAAAGCAGACCACTTATTTTCTTTAAAAATAATCAGAGACCTATTTAAGAAATTATTATGATTTATTTTGTTTTACGTAAACATACATTTTCTTTTAAAATTGATTAACAGTAGAGTATACCTAAAAATAACTATCTTATTTAAGGCATGAGTAGCATAAGCAAACTAACAGAAGTAAAGTAATATAATTATTTATAAAAGCTTACTCAGTAATCAGTATTTATGTAAATACAAAAAATTGTTGCGAAAAAACTTCAGAACTATTGCACAAGCTCACAAAAAGAACGTCTTAATATTAATTTAATTTCACGGAACTATCACTGTCGCACATAATAATATGCACCACTGTTATTATTGAAAACAATGTTTTAAAACAAAAAGTACGCGTCGGAGTCAAGTTGCCGCGTAAAATGCAGTGAAATGTCAAAGCAGTGCAATTTGGCGGGAGCTAGCTACAATGGCGGGGGAGAACGGCGCAGTTTTAATTCAATTCACGAAGGTTCCGCTCTCGGGCAAAGTATTTGCATTAAATAATGCCTAATGAAACCGGTGTTACAGTTTACTGCGAATATGTAACAGTCCGGATTGAGTGTGGGAGTTTAGTAATTAGCGCTGTGACATAATGGAACTACTTTTTTTCTGTGGATAACTCGCGGCTTATCGGAGTTACCTTATAGATATTACAAGTTTAATGCTTACCCATCTTGAAACGTGAGGTGAGAGGTGAGGAATATGAACAGAACTCAATTGAATTATTAGTAACTGTATTTTATTTTACACTTTCGTTCAATAGCTCATGACTTATCTGATGTTAAGCGCCTTGGAATGACATTATAACCTAAAGGCGTATTAAATATCTACCCTGTTTAAGTTCTCAGATTTTACTAGCACGTTATTTTAAATCAATTCATTTCATATCGTCTCCTAAGGTACCATTTTATTTAATTAAATCCCAATTGATTACAACTTCAAATGAATCAACTTTATTTCGTTCCGATCCATGTCATTTTACATAAAATATTGTACCTTCATATTCATTCAAGATTTTATAAACTCGACACTGGTAACAACGGTATCGCAAGAATCCGATTGCCATGCTAAAAAAAGAAGAAATCGCAAATTGAAATCTCCAGGGCTGCCCTAAGTTTCAACCTAAAATATTTCATTACTTCGCGCCTGTTTTAGGTTAGATTGATGTCCATTTGTACCGGGTTCCAAGATGCCGGCGGTAACTGCTTTTTTTTTTAATAGAACGACTTAGGAAAGAAATATAATAGGCAATATGAAACACTTTAGCTCGCACCAGCCACCGGAAATTATAAATTTCATTCAAATTATTTTAAACTGCATCATCAAATAATTGTATTATTATATTGTGGTTTAAATTCACTAGTAGGAAACTAGATCAAGGGTAAAGGGTGAATGGATTGTTGCCACATACTACCTTAGTGTACGTTGGTGCGAAACTTGATTTTAATTTTAATTTTTATACATTTTTCTACCTAAATCTACATAGTTACTGTAAATTTAATAATAACTAGCTGACCCGGCAGACTTCGTAGTCCCTCAATCGATAAATAAAAGGCCTAAACTTTTGTATAAAATAAACTTAAGACAAACAAAAGGAATAGCTCAGACGGGGGACACATCGAAGGAAAAACCAAATTGTTATTTTTATTTATTTCCGAACATTTTCATATTTATGTACCTTTTAAACTTTCTCTGGACTTCCACAAATAATTCAAGACCAAAATTAGCCAAAAAAAGTACTCAACAAATGTTAACGATTGACTTCCATGGTGAAGGAATAACATCGTGTAATAAAAATGAAACCCGCAAAATTATAATTTGCATAATTATTGGTGGTAGGACCTCTTGGGAGTCCACACGGGTAGGTACCACCACCCCGCCTATTTCCGCCGTGAAGCAGTAATGCATTTCGGTTCGAAGGGTGGGGTAGCCATTGTAACTATACTGAGTCCTTAGAACTTATATCTCGAGGTGGGTGGCGCATTTATGTCGTAGATGTCTATGGGCTCCAGTAACCACTTAACACCAGGTGGTCTGTGACCTCGTCCATCCATCTAAGCAATAAAAAAAATTTGTTAATTTATTGAATGTCAATGAAATGTCGCTGTTGATGAATGTTAAAACATATTATCTCTACCAATGTTTTCCAAAACATAGTTCTAGTCCTGACCGATGACCCAACTCAACGGGTTTCTGTCTTTTGACTATCAATCACATTGTGTTTTATTTTTCTTTAAAACACCTTATCAATTTCATATGAAAAAAACACAAAAGACGAAGCGATAAATTGAACGCCGCATATCGTTCTCAGCCTTTCACTTTCCGTCTGTATCTTGTTATATCACCATCAAATCGAGCCCAGTGCGTGTGTTTTTGACGACCGTACCGTAATACGACAGACGCTGATGTTGATCTTGGCAGGCGTGTAATGGACACCTCGCATGGCTGTTCTCAATTGAGTTTGGCTTCATTCAATTTAATTAGTGCTGTTCACATTGCTTTTTAAGCTTTTGTTGGATGAACGAGGTAGTACTGGGTATTATATTAGATAATAGTAAGTACTACCGTAGACCCAGAGGTTTCAATCATTCAAATGGCAATAACCAGCATTATACGACATGTCCTTCTTCAAACGAGACTTGTGGAGAATATTAACCGGTAGGCAGCGGCTTGGCTCTGCCCCTGGCATTGCTGAAGTCCATGGGGACGGTAACCACTCACCATTAGGTGGGCCGTATGCTCGTCTGCCTAACAAGGGCAATAAAAAAAATACAGAATTCAGTGTCGTATAGAACCCTGACTGTAAACCTTCGCTCTGTTCAATAAGAATAAGGTAACAAATCTCACAACGGTTACAGCAGAACGGAAAATACATTCAAATATATAATAAATAATTAACCAACAATTACAATTATTACGGTATGTTATAAAGCGGATATTTCAGAACACGAGATCGGATGGTCAAATCCGAGGGTTAATTGAGGCCGGAGCCACCGGACCGCGTTATTGTGACCACACTAATTATAAAACACTACTCGGGTATAAAAAAAATGTACCAAATCATATTTTCATTGTTTTAACGAAATATTTTTTTGCCTGTGCCATTGCAGTTTATTGCCCTTGTAGGCAGACGAGCATACAGCTCACTTCATGGTGAGTGGTCACCGTCGCTCATGGACATTAGCAATGTCAGGGGCAGAACCAAGCCGCTGCCTACCGTTTAATACTCTCCACAAGCCTCGTTTGAAGAAGGACATGTCATCGCGCCCGGGAAACACCGTGGAGGGGAGAGCTCATTCCAAAGCCGGATGGTACGTGGCAAAAAGATCTCTGGAAACGCACTGTGGATGAACGCAGTGGCTCCAGGTAGTACGGATGAACTTTACTCCGGTGGCGGGAGGTGCGATAGTAAAAACGAGATGATGGAATCATCTCAAATAATTTCTTAGAGCACTCCCCATGGAACATACGGTACAAAACATAACCTAAATATTGCCTGATATTGACAAACGATAGCTTACAGGTTCTATGACGAATTGTAAGGTCTCATAGATAAGTACTACCATCTTCATTCGCGAAGCAGCTGCTCTTGAGTTGTTAGGTCTCTCTTGGAGGCGCTCGGGTAGCTGTTAACAAATCCCACCCCTCTGGCTGAGTGCGTGCTCGCCCACCTGTCCTTGTGAAACTGGAAAGGCCTCAGGACCACCATAAAGCTCAATCATTAAAAAAAAACTACCATCTTGTCCATGCGTTCCTTAAGTAATAAATAAACATAAAATATCAATTAACTAACTGGGATTACCTAATTTGGATATCTCGAAAAATAAAACACATACATTTGCATTACTTTAATTTGGAACTAGATTTAATCCGTATATTTACAGTAATATATAAATTAATTATTAAATTATTAGCTATCAATATCCCTACTTTCCTACGTCACGGTAACTGAATTCACTAGTATGAGTTATTCACTAGTATTGAGTAGGTGTGCACCTCTCACTCAGTCTTGATCCCGATCGGAATATGTCTTACGTACTTTTGAATTCAACTAGTGATTTGAGACATTAAATACTCTCTGCTCCGTACTAGAATATTCATTTATGGCTAAGTTTCCTACAACTAATTGCAATAACACTGCAATAACAATAGACCTTCATGTTATAAAATCATCTACTGAGAATTTCACTCTGCGGGTGTATGTATGTACCTTAAATAATGTTAAACATTTTAATCGAGTGGCCAAGATGATTCCGGCGTATCAAATTGTCGATATAAAAAATCATAGTGCGTCTGTAGTTTTAGAAATGCGAGGGCATCTTTCTACCTTTCAAGCTGAAACTCTAGACAACAGCAGGTTGCAACATAGTAGCAATCTGTTCGTTCACAATACGCCCCCAAGTGGATACAAGATTTAAACGAAGTACGAATTAATTTCCGAATACTTTTCTTCATCTTTCGACTCTGAAGTGTCTGTTAAAATTCTTTCCGTTTCGTAATCTAAAGAATTTAATAATTCCATTTGCTTTTTGACCATTATCTGTTCAATACTCTTCGTTTTCTTCTCTTCTTCCTTTATCTCTTTTGTTATTCCACTTATATTGTCTTCTACTATCTTCGTGGATCGAGTAGATACTGGAGTGTCTGTACTAGTAGAGCTTTCAATTTTATTTTTTTCACTCCTAACTTCTCTGATCTCTTTGTCATTATCACCGAACCAATCTAGTTTTGACATATTAATACTTTGAGTGGCATCAATAATTTCGTCGTCAGAAGCTGCTTTTCTTATCCCTTGATCACTGGTAGTTATTTCCGTAAATGTATTAAATATAACATCTTTATCGGCTATGTACACATCATATTTTTGATCATCATTATTACTAATTTCAAAATTAATCATTTGAAGTTTAGAAGAATCTGGATTTAACCTTATACTGTCGGTTGTGTGAATTATATTTTCGGTTGAAGATGCAATTTTGGTATCATTTTTTACCTTTTTTACTCTCCTGTTAAATACATATTTATCGTCATAGTCTCTGTCGTCATCATCTTCACTAGCTTCTACATTGTCGGTCGTCGAAACAATCGTTTTTTTCTCTTCGCTTTCCACGTATTTAGAATCTGTTTCTGATTTCAATACGCTATCTTCTGTAAGTTTATCAAGTTTTACACTATTAGGAAACGCATTAGTGCCAATAGAAACGTCTTCGAGAACCTTCTTTTTTGTCGTTTTTATATCCGGTGTGTTTCTAATAGCATCTAGAAGCAGATCTATACCATCGTCCGCTGAAAATAAAGTTAAATTTCCATTATATTATTTTGATACAAAAGGTTTCTTTACGGTCTATTGAAATAATTTGCGAAATGTTGTGAAAGTTTAGCGTCTGGGTAATTCTTGCGTGATATTTTCCGGCCATGAACGTTATTGCTCAGATCTCGGTATTTAATGTCAATAATATAACTGAGAAAGTGACCTGTATTATTAAATTTAAAGTAATGAAGAAGTAAATATATGAGACAGTAATTAATATTAACTGAGAAGGGATCAGGTAAAGGTTGTATGTATATTTTTTGCTGCTTAACTATCAGTTTATTTTAATAATTTCACAATTTTAAACTTAACTAACGTCACTTGAAATTTAGTGAAGAGGAGACTAGTATCGTGGATGTCACGAGATGATTATCCTTAGACGAATATGAAATACAGTACATGTCGGTCCTGTAAGTTTCTCGCTCTCTTAACGCAGGCGCTAGAAAGCACAAACTATCCGGCACTTTGCGGAGTGTAGTTTTTTATTGCCCTTGTAGGCATACGGCCCATCTGATGGTGAGTGGTCACCGTCGTTTATGGACGACAGCAATGCCGGGAGCACAGCCAAACCGCTGCCTATCTCAAGATGAACGACACTTACAGTGTAGTATAGTAATATCAAGTAGATCATTATACAGGAATGATATCGTATAATAAAAATCCTCAAATCAATGGAATAATCCTCAAATTAAAATATGTAAGTACATACATATATGGGTCTTCATAGTAAGTAGGATGCGAGTGCCTACCAGTACAGTGTTTACACAAATTTATTAATTATACAACTATGTTTTAATTACGGAATGTCATTCCTTATTCGCGATGGTTGCTCCTGAATACGTATTAGAATGTACATATTATTATATGCTTAAAAATTTATAACTGTCGCTTTATTCCGATTCTAGTTCTAAGCTCCTAATATTCTTCTGTAACTACATACGCGTGATAAAATCAACACATTTAACATTATAGTCTCAATTGCTTTTTGCATTGAATATAACAGCCTCATACCTGTCACCAATCTGCCTATACGTTCAATTGCTTGCAGGTTTGAACTAAGAAGGAGAGAAGAATTAAGAAGCTTTCTAGGAAAATAAGTGCGAATAATGATAGATGATAATGAAATAATAGCATGAAATAGAGGAAGCCGTTGTATTCTAATTAATAACCCTAAAGACCGTTGTCATTTAGATTCTCTGACCTCCAAAGACCTCTAAGCTTGTTCTATTGCTACTACTTCACTTGATTTGCAAAGACATATAAAGGGCGTTGCTATGCCATCTAATGCCATAAAAATTAAGTAATCGATTTACCTGGATTCGAATCTAAGCGGTAATTTTGCTTCAACAAGAACTCCATTACCGTTAATAAGTATTCCACTGCATCGTCTCTTCTCACGTCTCTTTTACTTCTTAGTTTTATTCTACCTTCCAAACTGGTGAGCTTCTCTAAAATCTCACTGATATTAGAAGTTTTATTCACATTTTGGACTCTTGGTAAATTGTCAAAAGTTGATAGTTTGCGTTTGACGCTTTGTTTTTTGTTCACATTTTCAATTGTTTTTATGATCTTGTACATTTTCTTGACAAACGAATTGTGAATTAAGTCGTATGCTCGTAATAAGCCTTTGAATGCATCAAACATATTGTCATCTTTGTTTTTCTTGTATCTATCATTGATTACATTGTTCCTGGGCTTAACAATCGCCTGATTTGTTTCGGTAGGTTGTTGTTTATTTCTTCTTACAATAACAATAATATCCTGTAATATTTTTGCAAATTTGCCGACAGATTTTACGAACAGCTGCGTATTCATTTTAATATAATCTACCTGCGTTTTTTCTGTTTGCGTCAGATTGTAATCAGCGACGTCTATATTACCATTTAGTATTAAATTTAATGTGTGAAAATCATTAACTTTAGTTTTTGAATTTGTTGTTTTATTTGGAATATTCATCAGTTTTAAAAGACCTTTAATAATCTCGATTGTCCTTAATATATTAGCTATTTCTATATTAAGTTGTATCACTTTTATATTTACCAGTCTTTTCTGGTTTTTGTCAAAGTTGCAAGGTCCAAACTCTTGGCATATTATTTTTAAAGTATTACCTCTTTCATCATATTTTTTTACTTTTTTTGATATAATTTTATTGAATAATCTTTTTATTTGCTTAATAAATATATGTTTCTTTAATTTCGGTTTAACAGTTGATGCATTACTTGTGATGTGATTCAAAATGCTTTTAAATTTATTTTGCAGATTTTTTATTTTGTCTATAGCAGTAATTTGTGTTTCGTCTCTTTTGTTCTTCGATGTCTTTATTACTTTTTTAATATTGTTTTTCTTCTCCTTAATTCTTCTCACAAATTTCTTTGTTACCTTTCTTTTATTGGTAGTCGCATCGGTATAATTTGCTTTAGTTTTATTAGAATTATTACCGAAATTGTCAAATTTTATTAATTCCAATTTCAATAGTTTTCTGTTGCCTTTATAAAATTTTATTTGTGGCCAATCTTTGAATTTTAAATCATTAGCATTACGTAAAGCATCATCCATAGATTCTAGAGACTGATTTCTGAAAGTATGCGGCTTTGTTTCATTATAGAATACTGCAGTCAGATTTATTTTCGTCTCATTGTTATTGAGAATTTCAGCTGTTTCGTTAATGGTTTGACTATTATTTTCAAGATAGTAGGAGTAGTATGGTGAATGTGTCGATATTAGTAATGCTTCTTCTGTTATAACATGGGTACTTGCATTTAACAAACTCTCTATTTGAGAAACATTTTCCATATTAGTGGTCATATCTGAAATACATTAATAAATATTTTAATTGAAGTTCAAGTGTCTATGCTTTTCGGAGTTGAAGACGCCGACTATCCTTGGACATGAATTTTTTAAATAATCCAGAGTTCTAGCTTGCAAATAGTCACTACTCAAGTATTAATACTCACAAATAGGGTAATTATGTACAATATGACATAAGTATTTGGACTTACGACCTTGAACCATTGTTCTGAAAATACCAACCTGTACTGAAACCCAAAGACTCCGTAACGTCCACAGTCTTTCCCACTTCACGTTTATGTCTTGTCAGTGTTTTGTCTTTGTTAATATCAGCTTCAATTCGTTCTGCTTCTATCGCTTTGAGTATCAGTGAAGAGTTGCCTTTCTTCACGTCATTTCTTATAAAATGTTGCATGGCTTCTAAGACTTTTCTGATAGCTTCGTGAGCGAATTGTGATGTACTTGATAACGTTATTTGTGGATTTGTGGAGGACTTAGTGTCTCTGCCAGTTGGTTTTGGTTTGACTGAGTTGTTTTTGATAATTTTCTTTACAGGTTTCTGCGGCGCGACAAATTTATTGGTTTTCTGTGATTTGGCGTTATTAGGCGGCTGACGTTTTAGTCGGTTAATGTTTCGTCTTTTTGTGGTTTGAAGTTTTTTAATCGAAGGTTTTTTGGTTACTGGTTTATTTGGTGCTGGTTTCTTTGTTGTTGGCTTTTTAGTTTTTGGCTTAACTGTGGTTATAGGAGTGGTTTTTATGGGCATTTTCCTGATGACAGTTCTTCGGAATGAGCCACCTCGTTTCTTGGGTTTCTTTGTAGTACCTATGAAAATTATAAAGTTTATTACTATCTATATAGCATTTTGTATCCTTATTCAATTTCAGAATATGTGAATACAGAAAAAAATATGTTTAGTTCTGTCCCTAACATCATGCACTACATTTTAACATAAATTTTCATTCAATACACTTTTTTAATATGTATAATAATAATGAGCATAGTAACAGCAATACAAATTTTAATAATCGACGTATTTATTTTAATGTCTTAAAAAAGTGCCAAGTTTTCCTATTTAAATATATAAAAAAAGTTACGTTGAAATCTATACTAATATTATAAAGAGGAAAGATTTGTTTGTTTGTTTGTTTCGAATAGGCTCCGAAACTACTGGACCGATTTGAAAAATTCTTTTTCCATTAGAAGCCGACAATGTCCCTGATGAACATAGGCTACTTTTTTTTTTTTTTTTTTATTTTATTTTTTTGGTTTCATGTGTGTTTTAATGTTTCCGAAGCGAAGCGAGGGCGGGTCGCTAGTATAATTATAATCTAACTCTCTTTCTCTAACTTTCTTTTCCCTACCCATTTGCTGGCAGCCTAAGCCTGAGAGAATTTGCAAACACTAGCCCTCGCAAGAGCAGCTCTTCGCTTAATCTACCACCGGATCGGAATCGCGACCCATTCAGAAGATCTAGCGAGAAACTCAGTGGGTATTTTAAGCTTCCTTCGAAACAAGGGCTACTTACGTTCAGGACAATAGCTCAATACCCTGCAGTCCCAGTGCCCGTTGGCGTCGCAGTCACAGACGGTACAACCGATGCACCAATCAACTGGATTACAAGGAAAAATGCGTTGCAAATTTTATAAAAAAATAAAACACAATGTTGCATGTTAAGGCATGAATATTGCCGAATAATTGAGTTCATACATAGTTCTGTACAAGACAATAGGTTTACAGACTGAAGATACTTGCCCTGCAAAGTGTCTCCGGTTTCCAGTGTAGGTTTAAAAATGAAAAAGTTTTAGTTGAACCGATGCCCTAAAGTTGAAGCGTACATTTGCCTTTACTTCTCTTAATCAATTATTTTTTTGTCGATCATCACATGGCCGTTAAATTCGGTGTGCATAGATTGTTTTTTTTTTTGGTATGTTTTAAATCGACTACCGTTTGTAATCGATTTGTTTTTCGTGTTTCGCTCTGTTTTTGGTCGATCCCAAAATGTGAAGATGGATTGATTTATTCCAATATAATACTCACTTTCCTAAATTTATGAATTACTAACGCGAAGATGTTCTAATTTGACTTTATGTCGTAGCGTCAAAAATCGATATTCAATTGTTTGACGAACGAGCACACCGTTTAAAAACTGAATTAAACATTGTATAGACTGCTTAACTGGCTGAACATAAATTAGAAATGATTAAGAAGGTATCCTGTGTACTCTTAACATTACATCTTCTACCTACTCCTATCCAAAAACGCTATCTCCAGATTGTCCATCTACTCATCTATCACCGGCCAATCACAATACGTATACGAATAGAGCTAAGTTCGAAAATCAGGTCTGGGATGCAAAATCGGCTAAGATCTTATGGATTCATTCTTTGTAATAGACAAATTTCCGTACACTTTAAAATTATTGATGTAGTACAACTAAAAGGTTATATACCTGGAGGACAGCCATCGCTGAAGCTGGATTCATACGGCTTACATTGCTCTGGTAACCTTTTGTTGAAAACTGCAATAAAAAATCAATAGCCTATTTAATTCCAGTCAAGTACTTAAGTAACATGCTCTAATAGGTATTTTGTCTCTTTTACTACTTGGTGGATTAATTCATGAGAAATTGGAGACCAAATATTATGTAAACCATGTTTATTATTAACATGCTAATGGAAAGGCCGCCCTCATCTTCTTTGTACCATCATACCTAAATCTCACACCGAAGTTCACCAGTTGTAGTTGTGTTTCTAGTTGTTTTAAAATACGCAACGACTTTATCAGCAGCACAAAATCTCATCTCATATCTCATCTGATTCTCATCATCAGTCAACATAGTTTGATATTATAATACTAAAATCTCACAATGCTTGTATTGAGAGTCAACCATAAAAACAATTATAGTATTTACTTTCGCGAGCTTCAGTATATGTCTAAAGCTGATAACCTCGTTGGACAAGTGGTTATCGACGACTGACCCACGGAAACCATATGACTGACCAAGTCGATATCTTTGTTGAGGCAGCTTGATTCTAGTCTCGTGTAATAATAGACTTGTTAAGTGTTTCCGGTACCAATAACTAAGGAGAACAACATACCTAAGGCCCATTGATTTTGAAACGTTTACAGCTTAATAATAGTAGAAGTGGCCCAGGTTGGGGTATAGCACGCAACGGTAGAGAGCCGCCGCTGACTACTCCCCGAATCCTGATCATGCAGGAGCCAGTCACCGTCGACGTCCTAGACACGTCCTTGCGGATCCATCAGATCCAATAACCGTTGCATTAGATGCCTTCAGCTCTAATACTAGGGGCAGGCTTAGGGACCCCGGTAACCGTACTCGTCGAACTCGACAAAGAGGTCGACGTGCAACCTAACCCATGCATCAGCCCGCTGAGTTTCTCGCCGGTCTTCTCAGCGGGTCGCGATTCCGATCCGGTAGTAGATTCATTCGCGAAACAATTGCTCTTGAGTTATTAGGTCTCCTTCGGAGGCGCTCGGGCAGTTGTTAGCAAATCCCGCCCCTCTTGGCTGAGCCTTTGCTCGCCCACCTGTCCTGGTGAAACTGGAAAGGCCTTCGGGCCACCAGTAAACTTTCAATCATAAAAAAAAAAAAAAGTACCGCTGCCGCGGCGCAATCACGCACTGCCGTTTTTTCCAATATGAGACAGTGGATGTAACACAACATTGAGACTTCAACCTTGTGTCTCAAATACAGTATGACGTCCTCGTTGTGATGTCGTTGGTAATCCCTTAACAACAAATGGAAAAGATGACCTATAAAAAAAAGGTGTGTGTATTTCGCACGCGGCTCCTACAAAAGCGAATCTTATCTAATCAATTTTTTTATTGCCTATGTAGGCAGACTAGTGTGTGGCCCACCTAATGGTGAGTGGTCACCATCACTCATGGACGTCAGCAATGCCAGGGGCAGAGCCAAGCCGCTGCCTACCGGTTAACGCTCTCCACAAGCCTCGTTTGAAGAAGGGCATGTCATAGCGCTCGGGAAACACCGTGGAGGGGAGCTCATTTCAAAGCCGGATGGTACGTGGAAAAAAATTCACTGGAAACGCACTGTGGATGAACGCAGTGGCTTCAGGTAGTATGTGTGAACTCTACTCCGGTGGCGGGCGATGCGATGGTAAAAACGAGATGATGGTAAATAGTATCATCTCAAGCAATTCCAATATTACAATATCTATAATTACTATCTCGCAGACTAAATCCTTTAGATGTATACACCTAACTTTTTTTTGTATCTTTCTTGTTATGAAGTTGTATCGTTTCGTTCCATTTGATTCAGTTTCAAGTCGCAACGGCGCCAAAGAAGTTTAGCTTAAAAAATGTAGACTTATGAAGTCCGTGAGTATAGTATAGTATAGTATATGATACTCACGGTCCCTGGTGGCGTCACGAAAGAATATGTCTCCTAAGGCAAGACCACGGCGCACCCTTGTGCCTCTGAACAAAAAAAAAGGTTAACAATAACAATCATAAAAAGTAAACAGCATAAAAAATATTAATGCCGCTACTCAGGTTCAGGTCGAAATATCAATCACATTTCGTAGCGTCTACCCGAGACTTTAAGACAGAAACACCTAACTCTATGTGACCCGAAAACTGAATCATCAATGCCAAAAAAACAGTGTAATTAAAATTCCTAGGCTTGTGTCTTGATATGGGCAGAAACATCTATCGTCTCGTAGTGAGGTTTATATTTTGTTCGCATCATACACCAGATGACTGCAGTTGCTGGTGGCCAGATGGCGTCTCGTTTCCAAAGGTCGTTGAACATCGGGTATGCCATGGGATTGTTTACCCAACGGCACTAATTTATGAAAACTGCAACGCTGTGTATAATCTAGCCCAACTTTTCAACAAAATTCAGAACTTGGAGTGATTTGGTCCAACAAAAGCCGGACCATGTCCACTGAAAGTCAAGCTTGACAATGTTGCTACAAATAGGTGATCTAAAATACCGCTTTCCGATCCCATGATAGTGGTAGCTTTCAGCATCACATCTTCTATTCTCTCTTCGCCAACATGCAGCCGTGCCATTACCCTGACAGAAGCAGAGGAAGCATGGTCCAGGATCCAGATAATTTGACGGTAGTTCTCGTTTGAAATAGTAGCCAACATCGGGACAGGAATCTGTTTGTTTGATCGTATAGTTTGTGTCTGACAGGTACTCTAAAAGCAGAATGAAGATTATTTGGTTATTTAGTATAACCTTTATCACCAAGAAGTTGTGTTCTTCAGTAAATAGACAGAAGCTTTTTTTATTTTTGGTTGCTTAGGTGGGTGGACCAGCTCACGGCCCACCTGGGGTTAAGTGGTTACCGGAGCCTATAGACATCTACAACAGATGCCGCCACTTACCTTAAGATATAAGTTCTAGTTACAACGGCTGCCCCCCCTTCAAACCGGAACGTAGTACTGTTTCAAGGCAGAAATAGGCAGGGTGGTGGTACCTACCCGTGCGGACTCACAAAGGGTTACACCACTAGTCATTACGCAAATTATAATTTTGCAGGTTTGATGTTTACTACGCGATGTTATTCCTTCACCGTGGAAGTCAATCGTGAGCATTTGTTAAGTACGTATTTCCTTTGGAAAATTGGTACTTGGCACCGGGATTCAAACACCGGTGCATTGCTAGATACGATTGCACCGGATGTCTTATCCTTTAGGCTACGACGACATCAAGCTCTCACAGCCCGTCTATCTATACTAATATATAAATCTACAGTGGTTTTTACGGATGTTCCGTTATGACTACTGAACCATCCGATTGACTTGGAAATTGGTATCCATGTATAAAATACATGTACTTAATGGATAGGCTCATATTTATATGAGTGTTGGACTCTCTACACCAGTTGCGGGGGCGTTAATGATGAGAATCTTTGTGAGGGTGAGAAATAATATTGTTAATTTTAAATGCCCAGCGAAGCGGTCGGGTACAGCTAGTTTATTATAAAAATGGTATCTGAAACAGTATTTTAAACCCGGCATAGTCAATACGAGTGAGCTATCTTAACTGTTAGGTCACGAACGCATAACTTGATAACAAACCGGACACGCTCTGTATTACAATTAAGCCCAACGGACGGGCTTGTACTCACCAGCAGTCACCAGAGCTGGTACCAAGAGGGCCAGCACCAGCATGTTGAGTCACCGTCCTGTCACTGCGCCAGGCGAACGCTAACGTAATCACCGAATAGCCGGCGCGTGTTTACTAACATTCTGATTTTTGCTGGTTTGTTGCAGGGACGGATTCAGAGAAATTATGGGGGACGCTATACGCATCAGTACACTTTACAATAATATGATATCCAGTAGTAACCAGTTTTATCAGCCCGCTGTCTGAGTACTTCTAGTTGCCACAATGCAATCGTGCGAAAGTGGTAAAAGGTACCCCATGTCTCCTTGTCTCAAGCTTCCAATAATCAATGAACACATGATGTACTTCAACTTCAGCGAGTTGACACTATCTCACTGAAGAAGGTGGCGGAGCATGAGAGAGAAATCTCTTTTCTTATCATAATAATTCGCGACCGACGAGCCGGAAGCAGGAGGAGAACTTAGTCCCAGCTCCACAGCTAACATTAACGTGCAGAGGGAGTTGTCGTGTCTAGCTTGAAGTGTTGATCGCTCAATGTACTGATGAAGGCGAGTGCCTTCTCCACGTCGACGGTCTTTATAGCTTGGTTATTGGTAGTGGTATGTGAGAAACCAGTGTGCTTAGTGCGACATATTTAACGTTTTCGATAGAGTAAAAGTTAACTTAAATTTGTATGGAGTTGGAACGTTTGCCTACGTTTGCCGCTAGGGGCGCTGTTCCTACTGCATACAAATTTGAACGAACTTTAACGCTATCATGAACGTAAAAAAACTCGCACTAAGCACACAGTACACAAAGCAAAGGATTTTGTATACATTTTTTCTCTAATTGTAAAGCACTGCAGTCGTCAACGCGTCGGAAGTTAGTTCAATTGACCCCCGAGTTATACCTTAAGTGCATTGTATATCCCGAAACATTTGAATGCAGTAAACATTGTCGATTGTTGAGAAACAGTACACACGGAGACGCCATGTTCGTGTGGGTCAGCTTACTTGTCGGCGTGATCGGCGCTTCCGGTGAGAATGAGAATTATTTGTGTATATACGGTGGCTTCCTTGGATTGTTTACTGCTTTCATGGCTCAGACAGATATACAACTCGGTTTTGTCGCGAACACTATCTCGGCTCTCATCTTGCTTGAAAAACAATTAAATTACCAATATTCTTCGCTTGGCGTAATATGGCAAGGTAATACAACCAGGTTGGGTGATGTTGTATTTCTCGACATTAAAGTCGGATTTACTTTTTTCCAATAACTTTTTACTTAATATGGATCGTGCGAATTTTTTGTCTTGGGCTTTCTTGGACCGCTAAACATTTTTAGACGAACTCTTTAAAAACATTAGAACATTGGAACTGCTTATCCCGCAGGCGGGTACCAATTTCTCTAATGAAATACGTACTTAACCAATGTTCACGATTGACTTCCACGGTGAAGGAATAACATCGTGTAATAAAAATCAAACCCATTCATCATCATCAGCCCGCGGCAGTCCACTGCTGGACATAGGCCTCCCCCAAAGCTCGCCACTGAACCCGATCTGCGGTTCTACGCATCCAGTTTCTGCCAGCTGCCTTGCGCAGGTCGTCGCTCCATCTAGCAGGAGGGCGTCCCACACTACGTTTGCCGGTTTGCGGTCTCCACTCCAGAACACGTCTACCCCAACGGTTATCGGTTCTGCGACATATGTGACCAGCCCACTGCCACTTCAGCTTACTAACTCTGCGAGCTATATCGATCACTTTGGTTTTTGCCCGAATGACCTCATTGCGTATTCGGTCTCGCAATGACAAACCGAGCATAGCTCGCTCCATAGCTCGCTGAGTAACTTTNCCGGGGCCTTTCCGTTTTTAAGATTTTCAAGAGCCATCCCGATCTCGTCTACACTAATCTGTGGCAGCTCGTCGGTGTAGTGGCGGGACAGTGTGGCTCGGACATCTGCTGGGTCGGAGACAGGCTTAGTTGCTTTGGAAGTATAGAGGCCTCCGTAGAAGTCCTCAAGTTCCTTGAGAATCTCCGGTTTGGAGGCGAGAATTTGGCCAAAAATCAAACCCGCAAAATTATAATTTGCGTAATTACTAGTGGTAGGGCCTCTTGTGAGTCCGCACGGGTAGGTACCACCACCCTGCCTATTTCTGACGTGAAGCAGTAATGCGTTTCGGTTCGAAGGGCGGGGCAGCCGTTGTAACTATACTGAGACCTTAGAACTGATATCTCAAGTTGGGTGGCGCATTTACGTGGTAGATGTCTATGTGCTCCAGTATGTGGATCCTTAACACCAGGAGGGCTGTGAGCTCGTTCACCCATCTAAGCAATATTTTTTTTTATAAAAAATGGGTGACGGTAACCACTCACCATCAGGTGGGCTGTGTGCTCGTCTGCCTACAAAGGCAATAAAAAAATAATAAAAAAAACATTTCACAGCTCTCCCTGCGCGTGACATGCTTATTAAGCATTACAAAGTTGTCATTCATCCACATATACCTAAGAGATATGAATATGATGGTTAGATTCTGCTTAGCCTAAAGTAACAGGTAAACGCTTATAACGTTCTAATTTCTAAGGAGCCTTATGCGTATTCGGATAAACTTGCCCGGTTTTGTTGAAAACATAAGAAAATAACGGGTCTATCTGTTCTTATCATCTACGTAAATTCGGAATTCCTTTTTCTCCCGATATGTAGCTTAAGTTATCTTCTTCCAGCATCACAATTCCACTACGAAGCTACCCCGACCCGAAGAGTACAGGAAGTCTGCAGGATTTGCTATGAAGACGACTGCTTTCCCATAGACCGGACCCCATGCGAATACTTCACCCAAGTCGATGATGTTTTGGAGAAATACGATGCTGGTGATTTTGGGAGCGGCAGCGAGGTGGATGTGGCTTTGGCCGATGTAATGGAAAGCGGTAAAATAAATATATAATTCGTAGATGACTTGGCAAGCTGTCTACATAAACTATGGCATATTTAAGAATGAAGGTCCTCTTGTTCAGTTTCTGAACGTCAAAATGTCAGCGAGCGGCGTCCGCCATGACACCAATTGTCTTTCAAATCCAGGCGCCAAGAGTAACGCATCAATTTTATAGTTCTCTTATATAAAGTCGGTAAATTGTAATATAAGGGTTCAATAAATATCTCTTAATACAGGCCACGCTCAATTCCCATAAGGCAACACCTGTTAATGTTCCAGATTAATCCAGCAGCCAAGCTTTACAGCTAACATTTACTGGTGGTAGGACCTCTTGTGAGTCCGCGCGGGTAGGTACCACCACCCCGCCTATTTCAGCCGTGAAACAGTAACGCGTTTCGGTTTGAAGGGTGGGGCAGCCGTTGTAACTATACTGAGACCTTAAAACTTATATCTCAAGGTAGGTGTCGCATTTACGTCGTAGATGTCTATGTGCTCCAGTAACCACTTAACACCAGGAGGGGTGTGAGCTCGTTCACCCATATAAGCAATAAAAAAGAAATACGATGGTAATGCAATTAAAACTTAGACCTGACGTGACGCGTATAGCGTAACCAGCTTCCTGCTATTTAGGAGTCGAGTCAAGTGGAATCAAGCTTTTCTGTTCAAAGATCGGTTCCGCGTTATACAATTAAATTGAGACCTCAACTTCATCTCAAGATGAATTCGCCTTGTATACACTATGAGTTCCAATAACCACGCCATTAGCTTCGTAGGAAACTGAATATCCACGACACAAAACTAAACATAATCTTGGACTACAAAAATATGTTTCCGATCATTAACTGATTAATCTTGGAAGCTGTAGCTGCCAACGGTAAACAAGTCCTGGTAGCACACACTCTCACGTAGGCACGTACTAGTAACCACAACATAACATTACTGTGCCATTGTTTCAGCGTCAACATTCGATACTGATTGCATTCCGCTTGTATCAAAGTATACAGATTGCACGAAAGGTAATTTGTTTTCAAAATCTATTTATCGAAATTTCTTAGCAAATTGGTACAGCGTGAAACTTTAATTAACGACACTTCTAGTCCTTATTTTATGTATATTTTTACACCGCGCTCAATGGTTCGTCATATATAAATATTTAATTAAAAAAATTATGTGTAATTTATGAGAATTTATGAGTATTGTTTTGCCTTGTATATGGCACCTGTTTCTTCTTATCGGCCTGGAATATCAAATTTTTAATACTTGTAAAGGAAGTTTTATTTTCACATCAGAAGGAACCAATTGACTTCGCAATACTATTTTTCTTATATTAAAATATGGTAAACAAGATATTTCACTACTTTTTTCATAAATCGTTTTTAGTTAACAACATAAGGGTAATAACAAACACTAGCAGCAAACCCATCTACTAGATCCATTTTTATCGCAGTCTATTCTGATATTGAAACAAACAAACAAAAACTCAAACTTACAAACTTCGACCGCATAAGAAGCGATAATAAAATTAGCTTATTTTTTCCCCAGAAAACATATGCACCGGTTGCAAGTCGTGCACTTGTGATGGACGAGGTCAGTGGAACTGCTCAACGAGGTCGCGATGCAAGCCTGACCTCAAGGTCAACATGGACCAACAAGTTTTGCTCTCAGTCATAGATGCAATGACAAATTGTAAGATGTAGCAAAATATCAAGTAGTTTTCAATACGATTTAACTCCCAGAATGGAGNTGCCCCAGAAAACATATGCACCGGTTGCAAGTCGTGCACTTGTGATGGACGAGGTCAGTGGAACTGCTCAACGAGGTCGCGATGCAAGCCTGACCTCAAGGTCAACATGGACCAACAAGTTTTGCTCTCAGTCATAGATGCAATGACAAATTGTAAGATGTAGCAAAATATCAAGTAGTTTTCAATACGATTTAACTCCCAGAATGGAGGAGTACCAGACTCTTTGGGAAGAAACCTATTCAGCGAAAGATCTCTCATCTACATTCTCCTGCCAACATGTCGGCAACATGTTTTCTCCTTCCATACTCCTCTGTCATATATAATTTCTTCGCTCACTTCCCCTCTTACACATATCATCTTTCACGCAATCCACCATTTTTTTCTTAGTTCTACCTCTTCCTCTAAAGCCTTTCACATTCATAGTTAAAACTCTTTTAATAACCTCACTGTCATTTCGGTGAAAGGTCTCTGTATAGTCCAAAATCGATCCATAGCATCTCCATAATAAATACCAGTACACTTTTAGAGCAAAAAATACGCTTCAGATTCGAAGAGCACCGTGGTTTTCAGTACGAAATCAGCGTAATGAATGTGTGATTATGTTGCAGCTGTCAACGTGCAAAGATCGAAACGTTCAACAGATCAGTCTCGAGATGAACTGAATAATACAAAAAGCGTTTACCAAGAAATAACTGAATGGCTGTACGGACTCTCGACTGACGCTGAGAAAAATAGCAGCACAGTTAACGCTAAGGGATTGGGAGATCAAAACGATCTAAACGATTCGTTAATTTTCGGTGAGTAAGATGATGATAGTCCTCGATAAGTCCCATCAGCTGTAAGCTTGAGAACAAACGTATCAAAGTCATTTGACTTAATTATTTAGCTACTCAAATCACCAGCCACGCAATTCTTATAAACGTCTATGTGATATATTTTTAATAAAGAATTTGATGTCATCATCTTGAGAGTGGGATGAAGTTGTTCCCGAGACCCAAAAAGTCTAAAAGTAAATACAGCCACATCAGCCCTACAGAACGACTGCCAACTAACTAAACTTATCTCTTCAGAAACCACTGCATCTCCGGGATCGTTGACAACCACAAAATTCACAGATGACTATCTAGCTTTCGATTACGTCTTAAATAGCGTCGCGGTAGACTTAGCAAACAATAACAGGCGAAAATTTCTAGAAAGCCATCAAGAAAAAGATTTCAATTACATGGATTTTGATGATACTACAAATGTATCTGAAATTGTAAATAAAATTGAAGATAATGAGGTAACTACTGTTACAAATAAAGTGATTGTTGACCTGCTTGACTTCGCAAAAGAAAATCAAGATTTTAATGTTTCTAGAGGTAGGTGTTTTGATCTGTGCATTTGATTTTAAGTAACAAAATAAAACGAAATTTTTAATCTAATAAAAAATATTATTTGGTCTTTATTTTCAGGCTTCACAAACCAAATAAACGTCTTGGATCCTATTGAATCAGACACCTACAATCCTGGCCTCGAAAAACTCAACATTATTAAACGGAACCCAAATGAAAACATATCGCTATTGACTAACAACAACGATAACAAAATGTATACAGTTGACGAATTACAAAACAATGTGTTAAAACCTTTAATCAATATCATAAATGAGAAAAGTAAAGAACTCCAGGATTTGATAACCGTTAAAGATAGTATTCAGAAGTTTACTAAAATTGATTCTAATTCTGACGTAAACATAACGAGCACAAACTCGACTGTCTCTATTTATAAATTAGAAATTATGGATGATCTATCGACAGAGAGTTATCCTCGGAGAAGTGATAAGAATAAGCTTGAATATTTGTTAGAAAAATTAAAACGAGACGTATACGAAGTGGTGAGGGATTTTATATTGATAAAAAAAATTAATACAAAAGAATTGCCAAAAGAATTAAAGTTTTTATACACTGCCATGAAACGTTTTATCAGCATGGAAAAATCTATTAAACTGAACTTAAAATTAACTAGAAAATTCATAAATAATAGTGACCTTTATTTAAATTTCGTTAAAAATGTAACTAATATATTTGAAATGATAATTCGAAATCAGAGTGGATTAATTACACTTAATAATTTGAGCTCCGGAACATTTAAACTATTATCTAGGCTTGTTAACGATTACTATGTCGATGATCTAGCAAAACTAGGTATAACAGTCGATACACCTCATTATAATCTAACCAACGAACTACAAACTGTTGGATTCAAATGGAATCGATTAGCAGAAGATCTTCAAAATAGTTCCATATATGACAGAAATTATGCTTTAAAATTATTACATTTAGCTGTTATGAATGACATCGGTAAAATGAGTGATGCCTTAGCTTTGATCACTTTTGCGGGCAGCCGAAGAATGGTACCAATAGACGATCGCATAGGTAATGACCTAATAGATAATATAACTCAAGGCTTAATATCAATAAATGAAAAAATCAAGACAGTTTTAAAACTTCACATGAAAAAGCCCAAAAATAGAATCATTGAAAATAATAATAAAAATAATAAATCTATAAAAAACATCAAAAAACAATCATTGATGATGAAGTTGAAGAATATCTTAAGAACTTCGAAAGCAGACATTAAAAAATTACTAAAAAAGAAAGTGCCTAAAGCCGATATAGTTAAGGAAATAGCAAAGAAGCGATTACACGAAATGACAAGAAGAAGAATGGAAGAATTAGAAGACACGATGAGGAAATGGCAGAGTAATTTGAACATCATCCCTAGGGATAAGAGATCTGCAAAGAAACTTAAAGTTAAGAAACGGATTAAGAGTATTATACCTAGATATTTAAGAGGCAAAGTTGATCCAGCGATAGCTAAGAAATCGGGAAATGTTAAAGTAAAAGAAGAAAAAATCATACTAAGTAAGTTGTTTAATATATTTTGTTCGCTAATTACACCACAACAATTCTACGCGAAAAAACATACATAATGGTGTATCTTCATACCCACGTTTTAGTAAAATTATGATCTATATTCCTTTTGAAAATATATTACTACTATAGCCCACATACAAAGCATAAGCGGTACTTTTCTTACCTTTTTATTTTTGAAACTATTAAAAAAAACTTGAACCGAAATCAAAATAATTATGTTAATAAAGTTGAATAATGATATTTATTAAAATATATTAATTACAGATAAACAAAAATCGACTCGATGAATTTTAAGCGCACAGCCCTAGAAACATAAAGCAAGTAATGCAGACGAAATGAAACAATATACCTATACATATAAGATACGATAAAGATTTTTTTGTCCATGAATATAGCCTTTAATAATATAATAAAAGCTAATTTATCTAATTTCCAACTAAATAACCATTTACTTTATGTTTCGTATCTTTTATATATCTTACATAAATTATGAATAAATCTCGTAAATTACCTTTTTCAAAAACATATATTTTATGGCTTAGTTGATGAGGGCATAGGCAAATTTCAAATTATAGTGTTCACAGGTTTTCCATGGTCTTCAATAAAGGTATGGCATTTAAGCACTAGCATTTGGGTTTAACTAGAGCATTACTGTTACCGGATAAATAACTAGGGACCAAACAATTACCTATCATCAAGGTACTTTAATAAGATTCAATATTTAATATAAATAAAAATTTATTAAAAAAATACAAAACATAACAAAAATTCATTTCATTTTTAGGCACTTAATTGTTATTCAATTTGGTGATTTTTAATTATTGTGAACTTTTTTATTTCAAATTCACCAATATCACGCGATTGAAAAGGCCAAAAATTGATAGCCAATTTATATTTTCATGTTCTTCATATTAATCAACTGTTTGATTAACCGTTCTTGGGTGTTAATTCCGTATTCAGGCTGAGGACTCGAAAAGCTTATAATCGGCTCAAGGTGAACTTTGGCGGGGTAATCAACGCTGGGTATTGGTTCTAAAATGTAAACAACTATTTTAGAATACAATTAAAAATTAAAGTGCTAAAATCATCGTGGCCTCAAAGATAAGACGTCCGGTGCATTCGTGTTGAGAGATGCACCGGTGTTCGAATCCCAGGCGGGTACCAATTTTTCTGTTGAAATACGTACTCAACAAATGTTCACGATTGACTTCCACGGTGAAGGAATAACATCGCGTAATAAAAATTAAACCCGCAAAATTGTAATTTGCGTAATTACTGGTAGTAGGACCTCTTGTGAGTCCGCACGGGTAGGTACCACCACTCTGCCTATTTCTGCCGTGAAGCAGTAATGTGTTTCGGTTTGGAGCGTGGGGCAGCCGTTATAACTATACTTGAGACCTTAGAACTTATATCTCAAGGTGGGTGGCGCATTTGCGTTGTCTATAGGCCCAGTAACCACTTAACACCAGGTGGGCTGTGAGCTCATCCACCCATCTAAGCAATAAAAAAAAAGACCTACATTAGCTCATTTCATCATATTAATTTGACATTATTCAATTGGTAAATAATTAGTTTCGAACGGAAACAAATAATTATTGTATTTCTCTAAACACTAAATAAACATTTAAGGTTAAGCTGTAAAAATAATTTACCATTTCTAACTTTGAAACTGTTATCATCAATTTGGCGTTTCACAAATATCTTGTACAACTCTCTAGCAAGAACAGCGTTCCCGTTCTCTAGATACAGTAATATCTTCTTAGCTATGTCATATATCACGTCATCGGTTGTATCATAATACTTAATTTGTTTCATTCTTAAATATCTCTGAATTCGGTTCTTGATTAACTGATTTACAATCTGATCTCTCGTTATCTTAGATAGGACGCTTTCTTCCTTGTACAAATTCGGACTAGGCATAAAATCTTTTACGTTTCCGTCCGTTTTTAGCGCTGAATACACATTTTGGTTATTGCTGTTCAACTGACTCAAAATGTTTGTTTTTAAATTTATGTTTTTGGCAACAACATCAACGTATCCATGAAGTTCGTTTATTTTATTTTTAGGTATATTACCAGAAGCTACGGTGTCTTTAACGTTTTCCAGAATTTCTATAATTTTTCTGATATCAAGATTCAAGGTTCTTAATACTATAGCTTTCTCTGCAGCTGGTAATTCAGTAACAACAGATAATTTCGTGTTTACATTTTCGAGCTTGATATTGTCTAAAGCTTTTTTAATTTCACTATATGACTTAGGTTCTGAAGGTAATATGTTTCTACGAGTATTGATTTTGTTTTCGTTCAAATTTTTTATCAGCCTCTCCCAAACGACAGCGGATTTCGGTCTATGACCACTACTACTACTCCTTCGCGTTTGAGACGTGTATTTTAGATCTCTTTTCAAATTTGTAAATACATTACTTATTTTCTTCACTGAATCATCATCGATATTATTGGGTTTATCAGAATTTAAACTATTATAGAGGCAAGGCAATATATCCTTTATCTTTACGTCAGCTTGACCAGTGGGCATACCTTTGGCATTTTGTATTTCAACTAAATCTTCGAGAATAGATTTCAAATGTGCTTTCAATTTCTCTTTGCTGGCCTCTAATGATTTAACTTTTTTAGGAACTTGTGTAGTTTTGATACTTGTGTACATTTCTGTGGTCGATTTTGATCGTTCTATATTTGTTTTATTAATTTTGTCATTATCAAGTAGCTTTAGCAGATCAGCTAAGGATTTCATCTTAAAAAATTCTGATAAATTTAACATTATATTACTTTCTACACTAGGAAAGGAAGGACTCGATTTGATTTTACGTTGATTGCTTTGGTCTTTCAACAAGCAGTCTGGATATTTTTCAATATGGCTGATATAATCTAGTATAATTTTGTCTTTGGCTGTTAAATTTAAGTTGGTCAAATCAGCTTGAAAGTATTTTTTATTCTTAGCAAAATCTGGTTCATTTTTAAACATATTTGACTTTTTAATTTTTTTAACCACATGTTTATTATTAGGCATTATTAATTTAGTGACTTTTTCCAATATCCTTCCGAATGAATTTAAAGTAACGTTTTCATCCTTAGTTAAGTTGTGTGAAACAAATCCAAACGAGTTCTTAGAAGTCTTCTTTCTAAGCATCTGTTGATTGACATTTTCATATTTGCTTATTAGAGTCAATACGTTTTTTATGTTATCCAATGCTTTGGCTGTTTTGACTGTATCACCATCTACCGATTTAACATTAGTTTCATTTACCTCAACCGGAATTAATAGCTTCTTGGCTTCTTCAAATTTATCACATAATGTCAAATTCCTTACGTCTTCGTTTTTGTCAATAACACCAGACAGCTTTTCTAGAGCGCTCTTCAAAAACTTTTCCTGTCTCAAAGATAAAGGTTCCTTGAAGAGTTCTATTAAATCCGATATTTTCTCGTGCTTCACTATGTCGGTTTCTAATGACTCCGTCGAATCACGTTCCATATTCCATAGTTTGTTTAGTAGATTACCGGCTATGAAAGCCATGGCCGTGAGAGTGTCATTTTCAGGAGTAAACGTAACATTTGAGGTCACGCGAGCATTTTTATCACCTATCAATTCCGTGCCTGTTTTCAATTCATTAACGATTACCTTTGAAACATGTTTATCTTTTTGACTCTCTGTGTAATTCTTTTTAAGTTGTTTCTCATAGTTTTCTTCAATAGCATTGTCTATTTTGTTATCTGTCATGTGCTGATAAACTTTTTCATTGTGTGCTATATGTAAAGGGTTTGTTTTATCGGTTAATGTTAGTCCGATCCTTCTAGAAACATTTGGTTGGAGTGAAACGTCAACTTTGTTAGCTGTTACCGTTCCAAACGTGTTATTATTCTTTAAAGTATCTGTGAAATAAAGTACGTAATATTAAAAGAAACATCCGAAAAGTAATGTACCGTAAAATGGGGGGAATCGGGACACTTTTTAAGTTTGACATTGTTTTTTATCGTCTTTTTTTTGTAGTTATATTAATAAACGGAGATCATAATGATTCCGGAGGCTTAAATTTTTATACATATACGATGCGTTATTATACATAGTTCATTACAAGATATACACAAAAGCTGAAAAAACTAGCCTGACCCGATTCACCTTTGCTTTGGGGTGAATCTGGTTACGTATGGGGACAAAAGAGTTTTTCGATAGGGCTGGCACTATTTAGTTGTTAGGTAGGTACCTAACTTTAGGTAAATAACTTTTCAATATCTTTGATGATAATCTTTTCTAATGAGTTACAAAACTTTATTGACTAAATTAAGCAATTTAATATTCTTAAACACAAAATAAACGTCATTTTCAGTTCAACAAGAGTATTGTGACATCCCAGATTTGTCCCTATTCTACCTCTAGTCCCTATTCCCCCCAATCTACTGTATTTATATAACAATCTATACAAATATTTGGTAATCATTTTTAAAGCCATAATATTGATTTACCTTCATTTATTTCATCAACTGTATGATAGAATTTCACTGTATTATTATTGTTTAAATTACGATCGGTCTCTTGAATAGACCGTTTTGGTCTCATTAAATCCATTATTTCATCTTCAATACTAAATTTCTTTTCAGTGTTAGTTTCTGAAATCATTCTATCATCATTATCACCTTCAGTCACCATCTTGCTCAGACAGCTTCACCAATATTCCAACCTGGCATTACCTACATCATCGAGTAAAACAAATATTTTTGGGGAACTCTACATAAATGGTCAAGCGATGCCTAAAATTAGTATTTTTATCAACAGAGACACCGCTACAAATTGGATTTAAACATCACCTTGAATTATGAGTTGAAACTCTACATCATTTAAGCATATCTACTAGGACACTCGCATGTGTTACACTTTGTAGGGCTTTGTTATTCCAATACAATTCTGAGTTCCATTTAAATTTGAGACGGTTAAAGGGTATTCGTGTTTACTCTCAATTTTAGTAACCGTCTTGACTAGCTTAACACTAGAGCTATGTCTAGGGTTAAGTAGATTTATAATTAGACTGGGCGCCGAGAACTAGGTCAGCCATCTGGGGTATTAACGAGATGACATTTATTTTTATTTTTATTGCTCGTGTAGGCAGACGACCATATGGCCCGTCTGACGGTGAGAGATTACCGTCGTTCATGGACGTCAGCAATGCCAGGGGCAGAGCCAAGCCGCTGCCTACCGTTTAATACTCTCCACAAGCCTGGTTTGAAGAAGGACATGTCATAGCGCTCGGGAAACACCGTAGAGGGGAGCTCATTCTAAAGCCGGATGGTACGTGGCAAAAAACGCACTGTGGATGAACGTAGTGGCTCCAAGTAGTATGGATGAACTCTACTCCGGTGACGGGCAGTGCGATGGTAAAAACGAGATGATGGTATCATCTCAAACATTTCTTCAGAGCACTCCCCATGGAACATACGTGTTATAAAGGCCATAGTAGCCTCACCAAGTGAAGTGAGTGCGAAGCTAAAGTTGAATTATTGTGCTTATATATAGATAGCCTTACCTTTCAATTTTTATCGTGAATTTAGGAAACAAATAAAAAAAGAATAAAAACGTGCAAAGTGCTTTATTTTATCAAGTGCTCTTTAGTGCTTCAATTTACTGCTATAATGTAACCTGCATGAATGAAAACAGATAATTAATAATTTACTGGTGGTAGGACCTCTTGTGGGTCCGCACGGGTAAGTACCACCACCCTGCCTATTTCTGCCATGAAGCAGTAATACGTTTCGGTTTGAAGGGTGGGGCAGCCGTTGTAACTATAGTAAGACCTTAAAACTTATATCTCAAGGTGGGTGGCGCATTTACGTTGTAGATGTCTATGGGCTCCAGTAACCACTTAACACCAGGTGCGAAGTGAGCGAAGATGTATTTATTAGGTGGACATATTTTTTTCACATCATCATCATCATCATCTTTAGACAAAGAAGGTGTATACGACACAGCAGGCGCTAGTGCGACCATCATCAGTTACGTCCTTGCGGGGAATCTCCAGATATAAACTGAATATGCTACTAAAATGCAATGAAGATAAAACGAATGATAGTATCTTTTAAAACCATCTCTTCCAGACAACCTTGCCCAGAAATGAATGGAGGCGAACGTTATTTGTTTATCTAGAAGTGAGCGGCAAACGACCTCACATACCTTATTTAGAAAAACGGCAGTCCTTAGGCCGATCGGTGCCTTATTGAACATTAACAACTTAACGTTGTGTTTAATTTATATTTGAATTGAATGTCAGTTAGTTGAAGTAATAGAAACACCATAAAACGTTACTCCATTTTGCACATTACAATAATAATTGATATATAATCCAAGGAAGATTGATGTCAGACAGGCGGCCGGTTTTTGTGGCGAGGTTTGGGGAAGGCCTCCAGCAGTGGAGCTGTGGGCTAATAAGAAGAAGAAGAAGAAGGCTGGTCGCAAAACTCATAACAACTACCTACGCAGCATTATAAGAGGACATGATGCGCTGATACTACAAAATGTGGAATGACACACATTTTATACACTGACCACATAATTAATCTTCTTCTTCTTGTACATTATCTGCACGAACAACGCAGTCTTTTGTGCAAAAAGAAGAAAACAAACAATGTAATCAGTAAACAGAGAGTCCCCGAAAGCTCTGCGACTACTACCGACCCAGGCTTTCAGAAGATTTAATGGCTGATGACAAAAAGTGCTTTATAGCTGATGGTACGACGCATTATCGTGATCTCACATGAGCCGGTTTTAAAAATGGAATATCCGCTATACACTAAAGGCCCAGCCTATATCTTACGTGGCGTTCATGGTGTAACGGCTCCAATTACCACATTTATATTGCCTAGATGGTTGGACTAACTCGACGAACCTGATATTAGTTGATTCTGATTATAGAGACGTTATAACGGGAATTCCGCCTGCACCTGAAGACATGAGATCAAAATATCGTGTCTTTAATGGCTGTCCCGCCCCTTAAGCTGAAACGCACGACTGCTTTCCGGCAGAAAGAGCAGGGCAGGCTATCCAAAAACAAGCTGTGTCCTGTACTGCATTAACAATAAGCAAAAAGTCGCGGGCGATAACACCAGGGTAGATTGATTATTAAATTATTATTATTAGCTTGCGTATGGGGTGCTTCTTGAGTAACAGATTTTAGAATTCCAGTGAGTAAGTTTTGAAATGAGAGATAAATACCAACTTTTGGCGTTAAGTTTCTGAGGAAGGAGGACAAAGATTAAGGCCACTAAAACTAGTGCATACACCTTGGTCTGATAGTGCTCGAGTGCCTGTAGTTGAACCACCCACATACCACCATACTACACCACACCCCCATATACCACATATATCTGTGCTCACAGCTGTCTGTCATCAGACCGATGGGAATTGATTACCAATTGTAAGACTTCCGGATAGAAAACATATCCGAAATTATTCTTTATATTAATGTGCGATTTTGTTATCAGCCACAAAAAAGTGTTAAATCAAGAGGACTAATTTACGATACCTATGACCAAATCTTCCAGTTTAGGAGGCGACGGTACTAGAGGATTCGATGATGAACTAGCTTGCTTCATTCTTTCGTTTTTCATTTCTGTGGAATAATTAATAGCATATATTGCAACACAAACGAGACACAGACCTGCGTCGATGTTTTCTTCTAAAATAAATACATTGGCTTGCAGAAGCCATTCACACGAGTCGCAGTCCTGTGCCAAGAACCGTCACTGTGCCTGCCCTGGTAAAACTGGAAAGGGCCACCAGTAATATCTCAAACATAAAAAAACCGTCACTGGGCTTTCAGCAATGTTTGTATCAATGTAGGTATCAACTCCACCGGATAAATTGCTTATTACTTCTAATAGGGTGGACTCCTGGTGTTAACATGTGCCCATGCTGTGTGGACTACAGGACTAATGTTTCACGTTACGTTTCCCTAATGGTACGGTGTCTTGTGATCATGCACGGGTATATACCACCAACTGGCCTATTCCTGCAGCTCAACAGCATTCTGGTCTGAAAGATCGGATAGCCGTTATACTATCCAATCGAAACATAGACCTAATGTCTCAAGCCGGGCTTACATGGTGCTGTCTATGGGTTCTGGTAGGCATTTACATGTATCTAATAACTCACGAACGATGTAAAAGTTTTTTCCTATGGGCTTTCAAAGCTCCAAGAAGATAAATCCCTATCGTACCTATATTTATTATGAAGATAACGGATTTTACTTTAAAACCCCGTTATGAGGTTACAATGATGGCTCTCCATACCGATCTCCATCAGCTGCAGAGCGTTGTCAATATCTTCTTCGTCGACCGGCTCTCGTTCTAAAAGAGAGCATCTCTTTTCCTTCTTACACGACCAGGTTCCTTGCGCGGTGCACGTACATTTGGTACAACCCATACACTGGTTCTCTGGAATTCAATTTGTCTTTCTATCTCTATGTCTTTACACTAGCTGGGTAGACGATCCCATGACTCACGTGGTGGTAAATGAATTTTATTGCCCATAGATATCAGAAAGTGATAATCGTAAAAATAATACTTTACCGTCAAAACAGTACCGTAGAGTCAAAAATCACACTGATTTTCAACAAGGACACAATTCACATATGATGGTAAGTGGTCACCGATGCCACGGGCACTGTGGGGCCCTAACTTCATTTGTAACTTCGAAGAACTACGTATCATATAACTCAAGAAACGCCATAGAATCAAGTTCACTTCAAAGGCGTATAACAGATGACAAATCTATGGACCTGGTGGTAGGACCTCTTGGGAGTCCGCACGGGTAGGTACCACCACCCCGCCTATTTCCGCCGTGTAGCAGTAATGCGTTTCGGTTTGAAGGGTGAGGCAGCCGTTATAACTATACCTGAGACCTTAGAACTTATATCTCAAGGTGGGTGGCGTATTTACGTTGTAGATGTCTATGGGCTCCAGTAACCACTTAACACCAGGTGGGATGTGAGCTCGTCCACCCATCTAAACAATAAAAAAAAAACATTCCAGACAGATAATATAATACAAATGATATGACAAAGCACTCACCGGCGTTACAATCATCGTATTGAGATACAAATGGTACACACTTCTTCCCTGTGGGCTCTCCGCCAACTGAAAGATTATATTTCTGCAAACAAGTTCTCGGAAAAAATATAACTTCGCAAATGACCAAAGATTTTTAAATATTTAGAGCGCCAATAAGTCCAATAAGGAAGGGCAGACGGACAGACCATAACCCATGATTGCTTCGTGGCAGAAATAGATAGGATCGTGGTACCATATAGGTACCCATTCTACCCCCCGGCATCTTGTTGAGCACTTGTAAAGATTTCTAGAGAGGAAATGCAAAACTTCGATAACAGATATTTAATTAAATCAAGTACTTTTACTTGTGGTAGAGTTAACATTGTTATTTATATTTTGACATTCAACAAGTGTGTCATACTGACATCTTAAGCTGAAATAAATGATTTTGAATTTGAATTTGAATTTTTATATCCTAAAATGTTTCCTTGTATATTTTAACAAATTACAATTACTTGAATACAACAAGCCTATCGCTATTGTTTGGAGTCCGTAATAAACATTAAGATCGATAAAAACCTTTAGCTCTATTAAATGTTTGCACTGCCCATCTAAGGGTTTCTGTTTCAGAAACAAACAACATAGTGTACGAACACAACTTTCAAAAGCTACATTTATAAAATGACTAGCGACCCGCCCTCGCTTCGCTTCGGAAACATTAAAACACACATGAAACAAAAAAAAATTTTAAAAGAAATTAAAAAAGTAGCTTATGTTCATCAGGGACAATGTCGGCTTCTAATGGAAAAAGAATTTTTCAAATCGGTCCAGTAGTTTCGGAGCCTATTCGAAACAAACAAACAAATAAATCTTTCCTCTTTATAATATTAGTAAGTATAAGTGTAGGTAATCAATACACAACTAAAATAATTGAATTACAAAAAAAATGCAACAGAGGAAATCGATCGCGAATCTGTTGTAAAAAATATCTTTCTTTACAATATACAACTAATCAAAAAGGAGAATTTATTCCGTCTGCCCTTCTCCTACACAATCATCTATGGAATTCGTTATAGTAAATAATCTTTAGACTTTAAAAATACGGCTACAACTGTCGGTAGCTTTATAACAGCTTTATCTTCTACATTAGTAATACAAAGAGTGCTTTCGGTGCATCAGTCATACGGTGCGTGGGTGCTTTAGTTAAACAAAAACTATTCACGTAGAAGTAGATGAATTTAATTTTTACTATACATTTAAATAGATAAATAACATATTTCGATCTAACAGAACCGAGCTTTGTATTTGTATTTCTAATTGGTGACACTATTTTGGTCGAGAGCACAGAAATATTAACGATACTTTTATTTCGTAGCCGGAGTCAATGTCTTTATATAAAGATGTTTGGTATTCGAATTTTGGAACTGCATGTTTTTATTTATTTATTGCTTTGATGGGTGGCGGAGTCCACAGCCCACCAGGTTGCTAAGATGCTACTGAAGAGCCTATAGAGATATAAGTTCTAAGGTCTCAGTATAGTTACAACGGCTGCCCCACCGTTCAAACCGAAACGCATTACTGCTTCACGGCAGAAATATGCAGGGCGGTGGTACCTACCCGTGCTGACTCACAAGAGGTCCTACCACCAGTAATTACGCAAATTATAATTTTGCGGTTTTGATTTTTATTACACGATGCTATTCCTTCACCGTGGAAGTCAATCGTGAACATTTGTTGAGTACGTCATTAGAAAAATTGGTACCCGCCAGCGAGATTCGAACACCGGTGCATCGCTCAACACGAATGCACCGGACGTCTTATCCATTAGGCCGCGACGACAAGCGTTACTGGAGCCCGTAGACATTAACAGTGTAAATGCCGCCACCCACCTTGAGATATGAGTTCTAAGGTCTAAGTTTTTACAGTACTGCTACTATTAAGTGATTACCAGAGCCCATGGGCACCAAAACATGGACGCAATTTGAGACGTGAGCTGGAAGTCTAAGAGAACCAACGAAGCACCGAAACCGCTCTATCTACTGGTGGTAGGACCTCTTGTGAGTCCACACGGGTAAGTGCCATCACCCCGCCTATTTCTGCCGTGAAGCAGTAATTCGTTTCGGTTTGAAGGGTGGGGTAGCCGTTGTAACTATACTGAGATCTTAGAACGTATATCTCAAGGTGGGTGGCGCATTTGCGTTGTAGATGTCTATGGGCTCCAGTAACCACTTAACATCAGGTGGGCTGTGAGCTCGTCTACTCATCTAAGCAATAAAAAAGGCATTACTGCGTCAGGGTAGTAATAGGCGGATTGATAGTACCGACCCGTGTGGAGCTACAAAAACGCGCTCCGACTAGGAAATAAAATAATTTAAAATCGCTATCAATTTAAGCTGGTGCGTTAAAATCGAAATATGTTCCAAGAATACCTGCTTAGAACCTAGACGAGAGGAACAGAGAGACAGTGCGTCAAGACGAAACATAACATCAAAACACACGATCAAGAGTTTTCAAATAAAAGCATTTGTTTATCGTGTCTAACGAAGGCAGTGCGGTCAGAGTTGTTCGTGAAAAATTAAATCAATTGTGAATGCTGAAAAAATGTGAAATGGCTTAAATATTGAAAACGAAAACGTTTAACTTATTATTTTATTGTATAAAGATAAAAACACCACAATTATATAATCACACGTCACTAAACACTGTCTGAAGTTTATCACAAATGTTTATTTTTGTTGAATCAATATTCTGAATTATTTTTAGGTATAATAGTAGCAATTTTTCATGTTTGGAACGCATTCTGGCCGGATTCAATCAGGTTTTTATTCCTTGTCAGTCTGCAGAAGGATATTCGCTTTATAGAAATTCTAATAAAAAATCTTGTAATTGTCCTTCCATTTTTGAATTTTTACTTTAACATTGCTAGTTACATTTCAGCCAGTTCTTGAAGTACCTTATAGATCTGTATGGCTCTTAGTTTTGAAAGTACGTATTACGCACATTAGGAACATTAAATCTGCAGCACGGATTAATCAAAACTATAGACTCAATAAAGGATTGCTTATTTACAATTATTCGCTTGGAATTTTCAGTTAAATAAATAAATCCACGTCATTCTTAATCGTTGTTAACAATGAAATCTACATAATCTCCTCCGGGAGCTCCAGACATGAGGTTCTCTCTGGTGACCTTGTTCCTGAGTAGCCTGATCTTCCTCCGAACCTGGTTATGTAGACTCCTCCGATGGCCGTCAGGGTGGTCGCAACACAACGTGTCGCCGCCTGCAACCAATCATCGTTTTAATTCTTGAACACAAAATATCGTTAAACATTGGAAAGGGCACGATTGGCTTGCAGAGAGCGAAACGAAAGTTGGGACTAAAATTTTATGTCTACTTTTGTACAGCGATTTAAAAACAATCCCTTCTTTTCAAATCGTGGTCTCCAGTTTTTTTTTTTAATTCACTCCAAAATAAATCCGCACTTCCAAATAAAGTCCAGTTTTACTGTCAAAATGTTTGATACCAGACTGTACGGCCGTAAGCACTTTGTCGGTAACTTTTCTAGAATACTGAATCCGACTAATTCTGATCTCATAGTGCACACGTACAGTTCATCTTTCTTCTTTAAGATTCAAATTAAAACAGGATTGAAGAAAATAGCTTTACGTCATCAAATATTTTCAAACGTATGCTTCAAATGACAATACATACACACAATACAACACTAGTTTTTTTAAGAAACTTCACTCTTCATAAAAGTAGCTGGACACTGTCGGAAAGCACAACTATTTCAAAAAGAACATCCCAACATTAAAACCAAAGCAAACCCAGGAAGAACACCAAACCGACCACAGCCCGATCCTAAACTTCACAACCATACCGCTATCAACTATATCGAAAATCCCAGCATCCATAGTCCTCCGCAGCCTGTAGGACAGCTGCCTGAAGTAAGCCGGCCTGTCCTGCTGAAGGTTCTGCCGGTACATGTCCCTCGGAGCATCGCCCTCCCGCAGCACCCTATAGTACTCGCAGTACCAGGGTCTTCTGCTGATGCAGCCCACCTCTCTGCCGCGGGCGGAGCAAACGCAATAATAGCAGACGTCTTTGTTGGAGTAGTCCAGCAAACTTTCGACGTCAGATCCCACGTCTATGGTGGTGTCGTTGGCATTAACGTCGTTGGTGTAATAGGAGTGCCCTCTTTGGCACTTTGCGTTAGCTTCGTACGGGATTTCATCATCGTGCCACAGGTAATCTGTAGTTATACTTAAGTTAGGTTGTTTTCTTTGCGGAAAACTAAAGCGGTGTGATGTTGCAACGTAAGTGAAAAGGGTAGTTTCCAATATAAAGTGCAGCTGTTCTGTAGTGAAAATTTTCGGAAACTAAAAAGTATAGTCACTTAAACAGGCAAATAATTGGCCGCGTTTTTAATTACTTTCTGCTATTAATACATACAAAAAAAATCACCTAATCTTTCAGAGGCTGTTTTATTAAGCCAACGATTAACCAATAAAGAATGAAATACTATCGTACGTAAATATTACAAGCCTTTCTATTTCCACGATAAAAACTGTAAGTGAAATATTTACAGTAACTGTACAGTAACTGCACGTGAAATACTTACAGTTTTACAAGAAATATGGATCTAGAAACGAACAAAAGAGACTATGAACTATATAAAACAAATCACAATTTTAAGGTGTCAGTAATTATGGTCAAATTTCAGCTAACAGCTACTAACGATACTGATTAAAACATTGCTAATAATATATTTGGTTGTTTATATGTTTTTTTTTCCTTAAGCCACATACGTATTTTAAGGTATATCATTTAAAAATGTAATAACGGAGTGGTAGGTACTGTTTTTGAATCAATAAATATAGAGTAACTTTAACATAGATGTATCTATGATACCCTCTGTTCCTCTGTTAAAAAGCCTCATAATTCCATTTTAGATTTGCCATATCGCTCTCTGTATGTACCTGATGCACCGGCTGTTGCTCACCTCTTCTGATCCTAAATGCCAAATTCCTCTTGTGGTCAAAAGGCATATAGCTATGGAAATTATCCATCAGCTTTGACATCATTAAGCATTCATTGACATTCACGGCTGGTCTTTCACTGCAGTATTCATCTTTTCCCTCGGCGGAGCAGACGCACATTTGACAGGAGTTATCTTTGGCAGGAAACGTCATGTGCGATTTTCGAGTATCTGTGGCTATACCTTCGTCTTCGTCAGAACTAGAGTTCTTGTCTTTTGAGGAATGTGTTTCTTTAATACGGATCACGGTACGTCCAGGGACACATTTTAATTTGAGGTCGGCCAGCTCTTCTTTTTTTGGAGTGATGTGATTGAAAAAAAAGTCTAAAATCCCCAGAGTATCGGTGAAGCGTTAGGTAATTTGATTTTTAATTATACCTTATGAATGGTTTGTGTAGTACAGTGAGAGTATTTCTTGTCAAGATTATTACTGCAGAGTATCTTCTTTTATTAGTGCATTTGGACGGATGACACCTAACATTTGGTGGTTACACAGGTGGTTTGGTGGACTCACAATTCCACCAGTCACAACTGAACACAAAGTCTAGTCTGCGTAGTAGGTATATGAATTTGCTCTATTTACCTACCGATTGTTGATACCAATCCGTGTGAATTCAACACAATATGTTAGACTCATACTATAACAAGTCTTATACGTAGATATACCTACTACAAAGCAAATGTGCTATTTAGTTCAGTATAACAATCTGCAGTTCAGACTAAAACTTTAACTAAGGAAGATTATCATTCTGGACGACAGAGTATTTCGAACAAGAACGTGTATTTATTGCTCATTAAATTATCCAGTAATTATTCAGCCCTTAGCACATTCGTCTGTATGTTTACATCATCGATATCATCAGCATATTAAAATATATTATACTAACTGACCCGGCAGACTTCGTAGTGCCTTGATCGATAAATAAAAGACCTAAACTTTTATATAAAATAAACTTAAAACAAACAAAAGGAATACGTCCGACGGAAGACACATCAAAGGGAAAACAAAATTGTTATTTTTATTTAATTCCGAGCATTCTCATATTTATTTCTACCTTTTAAACCTTCTCTGGACTCCCACAAATAATTCAAGACCAAAATTAGCCAAATCGGTCCAGCTGTTTTAGCGAGACTAACGAACAGCAATTCATTTTTTTAAATATAGTAGATTAAATATAGAAGATGATATTTTCATCTTACCAGCGTCAACCCGATGTAGCCCCGCCAGACACAGGAGCGCGGCAATCAAACAGAACAGTGTCAAGTTCATATCGCAGACAATTTGTCAGGATTATACACGATACTGTACCGATGTAGGTTTTATAGGAGTTTCTGAATCGTTTCAACCGATTAAACCTTCCATTTTTAATACAGAGAAGGATTTAGGATTTTATTAAAAAAATATTTAATTTTAAAATTGACTTAACATTTCTTAATTACAAAACATACTTGAATAATGGTATCCTTCGGTTTTTAAAAAAGAATGTCTACTGTACTGATCGATCAATTGATCTTGATTGTCAAGAAACATAACGATACCTAATATGTATCATACTATTCAATATCGTACCTTATCATAACCAATTCATGGTGGTAGGACCTTTTGTGAGTCCGCACGAGTAGGTACCACCGCCCTGCCTATTTCTGCCGTGAAGCAGTAATGCGCTTCGGTTTGAAGGGTGGGGTAGCCATTGTAACTATACTGAGACCTTAGAACTTATATCTCAAGGTGGGTGGCGCATTTACGTTGTAGATGTCTATGGGCTCCAGTAACCACTAAACACCAGTTGGGCTGTGAGCACGTCCACCCATCTAAGCAATAAAAAATAAAAAATAAATAATAATAATATACCATACCACATCATATAATATATCATACCTTATATCAGATATCATAATAATAAGAGTCATAACTCTGCCAATATCGGTCCCAAGCCCGGATGAGAAAAGAGCAGGGTTAAGTTGGAGTTCGACCTTTCCACCGTCAAACAGTCAACGCCGAATGTCTGGCGGCAGCTAATTAGCCGGACCCACATAAAGCTTCCAAAAGAACTGCTGTGGAAGAATGCGGGACCTCACCATGTGTATTTTCCCAAGAAAGCCTCATGAGGCCACGTCCCTCAACATTGAGGATTACCGACACAAGGATGAGGATATCAGATATCATACCGTAATGACGGCTTGTTTTCCGAAACATTATAAATAGTTTAAAGGGATGAGCACATCAGTACCAGACATAAATGATACATTCTCGAAGTCTTTAAACCTAAATTGGACCGTAATTCAATATCAATAGAATTCAATTATCGTTAACACAAATATACAGGAGCTTATAATTTTAGGAAGTTCTTCCGGAAATTCATAGTGAATCGAAGGCCACGGTGTTGCTTCACGTAACTTCACTAATCAAGTAACCTAAACCAGTCGACACTTGAAAGCCAACGTGACTAAGCGACAATGCGTGGACTTTACAATAGACTAATTTAAAGTTAAAATACCTGAAAAAAAATTCTATTTTAACGAATCTAGCTGTAGGATTGAAATGATTTTAATAGATCTAGAAATATATATTTTTTGCGCATCGAATATGGTTATTGCCTATCATTTATGTACAAAGCAGTTATTGTCGCTTAGTCACTTTTGCGTTTCAAGCGTCGCAGTGTACTTAGTAAAAGATTTTTAACGTTCTCGATAACGTAAAAGTTAACTCAAAGTTGTATGCAGTTGGAACAGCGCCCCTGGCGGCAAACGCAGGCAAACGTTTCAACTCCATATAACAATTTTACCTCTTTACCTCTCATCAATTTTACCTCTCAATTTTACCTCTCGTCAACCGAATGATCATGGTTCTATACTTTTCGTATATACGAGTGTTACTGTGTTACTTATAATATTTTGTATTCAAGTTTAACAATATGTATTTGGTATGTGTATGTGCATTACTATAATTCTCATGTTGTATTTGTTATTTTAGTTATGTGTTATTTGTTCTACACACACTCATCACTTTTTATTATTATTCTCATTATCCTGTCGCAGGTCTGCTGGAAGAGATTTCTTAAAGAAATAAGCAGTGCCTTTATACATAATTTTCCTATTACTCTGTACTATGTCTTGTTTTCTGTGTGTACATAAATAAATAAATAAATAAAAAATAAATAAATTTGAGTTAACTTTTACGCTATCAATAAAGTTAAAAAACTCGCAGAACGTTCTTGTTACCATCGGTACCAGATCGTAGGATCACTATAAATAATTGCTAATTATTTCAATGGCTCTAAGTCAGCGCCTGTGCTTCGTAATTGAAATTGTGGTCATAAAAAAGTTAAAAAGATAAATGAAAAACACAATGTAACTTATCAAACAGCTGCGTTCACATCTGTTGGATTCTGTTAGCTTTATTTTCCAATAGTATTGAGAGATTTCGACAGAACAATTATTACGGCCACGGCTGTTATCCCGTGGACATATAGTAGGATGAAAATTAATGTTGCCAAATCATATATTATTATGTAATTCAGTACAAAATTAAACATATAAAAATATGAAAAAATATTTTAATATATATTTTTTTTACTGAGGATTCTTATCAGATATACATAATATTTTATTTTCAGTTTATTATTAAACTTCTAATTTGTTTATAATTACGCGCTGTGACGGAATTCCGCACATGTGAAAACAAAAATAAGGTTCAAAACCGCATACGTCGAGAGAATTGAATCTCATACGTACTGTTCGCTGTTTAATATTTAATTTTATACATAATATTATAAACTAAGCCTAGTGCTTGTTAGTGTTTTTATTGAATAAATGCGACCGTCAATCATCCACCTCATGACGATAAAATGTTTTGACTGTGGAAATATGGGCTGTTTGAAAGACGCTGACTTTTCTTACATACGAGATACTTTACATACAGAAATACATTATATAACTACTCGTTGCATTGTTACAGTACAATTAATCTTAATTCTTACATTATTATCTTATTTTATTGTCATTAATTTATATTGCATTTATTTTATATTTTACGTAATTAAGCACTTAATTTTAAATAGTTTCAACATAGTTTTCACAATATACCGGTAGATGGCACTGTAACGTTTATTTTCACATTAATTCCAATTTAATACCATAGATAATACATTTAATATTCAATTTAATACACGAAGGGCCTTACAAACTAGCAGCTTATGCGATACGCTTCCATTATTTAGATGCTTAACATGAATTTGTTCCCTCAATTCTAATATAATTAGGGAAATGAGACGGATCTTACCAGAGGAATAGTACATACCGTCGGTTCTGCCTCTAAGTACAATAACCAATTCATTTCCATAATAAGAAATCACTGAAATTAAACAATATTCTTATAGCTCATCGCAGCGGCGGAAAGCGAAAGCCACATAAAGTACTATTTTGTTTGGCGTCATCATTATAACTTTTCCAAGCGCTTAGCATTTCTGTATCAGTTACACTGTGAACAGTCGTGAGGCTCCAGTATGAGCACAGCAGGAAGGGCTTGTGCGGGCTGAAAGTTCTTTCGTGAGTCAATTCAAAGTCCAAACCTTCCCTGGAGACTAGATAAGTAAAATATACATCTTCTAAATTGATCAGCGGTGTCTTCTTTGCTTCCTGTAAAATCTCCGCGATGTGCTTCGCTGAAAATATTAATACGATTCACGGTGGACATTTTAATTTGATAGGTATGTAAAACTATTCGCTTCCGCTAAACTGAATGACATTATGAAATGTCAAAAAAAATTCAAGCGACGCCTAGACGCCTGTTGGATACAATACATAAATATTATTATTTAAAGTGTGTTAAATTGAAATAACCTTTTAGTACGCCTACTTAGGTATATTATTAAACAAGCGAGCACTTTAAACACAATGGTTTAAACGTGAGCATGCATGTACATCCTTAATAGATCGTCTCGGAAAAATGAGGAATCGTGTTTTAAAATGATTTGCGGCACGTTGCGTTGTAGTCGATATCTGTGGGCTCCGATGATCACTTTGTGTCAAAGAAATCGTGAGCCATCGAGAGCAAAAACAAAAGTAATCAAATGTGCAAAAAAAAAATGGTTTGGCGCGTTTAATCTTTCATTGCTAACAACAGATGTCACTTGTTGTTTCTACTGACGAACG